CTTTATAGGTATTCATTCATATTTATCCGTCGACCGTAACGATTGTTTTTAAATAATGTAGTTTTCTATATTATATATTAGCGACTTCGTCCACGTTACCGGGATATATTTAATGACCGGGATGAAAAGTAGTCTGTGTCATTATCTATGCCATATAGTAGGTATAAACTAAATTTCACAGTAATTGGTTAAGCGATAAGCGCTCTATAAGAGTAAGGCAATGAACAACCAAACAAACTTACTTTCACATTTATAATATTAGTAAAGTTTTTGCATAGAATTATTGGCAAATGTAGATTAAAATTTGCGAATCAACCAGACAGCGATTTCACGCTAAAGATAACTGTACCAAAATTTGGTTGATACGTCATTCAGTGGTATTACTTCGACGAGGACATCGCTCGGGCACAATACACCGGATACGAGCATCCGCTTTCCATCGGCACAATTTTTGGAAACGCCAAAATTTTCATAGACCGGGCCTTCGAATGCTTTGTCATGTTGATTTGTGGCGTTGTTCATTACATATGCAGTTGGATTTTAGACATTTTGTACTCTTTGCAAACTTATTTTTCTAGTAGATAGTCTTAATTACATGACGTTATTGACAATGTTTATAGTATAAACAATCTACGTTATTATTGTAATCTGCCAGTCATAACAAATGCGAAAAAATATAATAAAATGTATGCACATTAATTATCTATTCAATTGAGGTAGATATATAGTTGGAACATAAAATACTAGGGGAAAGGGATTGTTAGTAATAGGATCTGGCATCGCTATTGTCAGCAATATGCCTTGATAGGTTAACCTCCACGCAGTTCCCTCTGGAAACTTTCGTGGTTAATTCTTAAATTCATTACGATGAGCTAATTGACCTGCTTTCATCCTCATCTATTAGCTCTCACTGGTGCCTTGCCAGTGTATACCGATAGCGCAGACGAGGTTACCATACCATCATCACCCATTAAAAAAAACATAAAATACTCAACTCATTTATTTATGTAAATATTTTATTTTCATAATTAGTATTATATTAGTATTATTCATTATTAATGAAATGTGCCAGGGTAACAAATTTTTATAAACGACTAGACGTCGAATAGCATACGAATCATCTTGTGCAAAATGATAATCATCATCTTACATATAATTACCACAGAATAACACAATATAATACTTATAGTGTTATTTGTGCGTGTTGTATTTGTTAGTTATTACATTCGAATCCAGTAATTTCCAGAGAACAAAGATAATAATTAATGCACGCAGGAGGCACACAGCAATATAGATAATATAAATAAATAGTTTTAAAGAACGTTTTAATGCATGTTTGTGTATATGTTTATGTTTGTGTATTGTGTTACTCATTCATGATCTTGATGGACCGGGCTAGGTGATGAGGTGCTAATTGAAAATTAGCGTTTCTGCTTTTGCAGAAACTTTAAGCTGAATTGGCATCCTTTTTTATTACCATAACACTGTCTGGCTTCTACTAATCTTTATATATAAATGTACTTTTTTATATTTTATTTATTTTTATGTTGTTATTACTTATAATCTATGTGTATGTAAGTGTTATGGTTTATTGAAATAAATTTTCATTCATTCATTCATTCATAATTATTCAGCCATTAGCCTATTTAATTTTATTTACAGTTGAGGCCATCTTGTTGAACCCGGATGGAATTTACATAATCTGAATTCTAAAATGATCACATAACTGTGGAAAGAAATTATAAATAGATAATTGTTATCTACCTATATTAAAAAAAAAAACTAATATATGATAATGATATTGATTCTATTATTTAAATATTTGAATAATAATAATTATAATCAAATTACTAATATATATACCTGATATATGCACATTGGTAAGAATGTTTTTTGTGAACCTCTTGGGAAGATTTTTTACGCCATATCTATTCCCTAAAATAGTAATGCCTACTTTGAAATCTTTGATATAATATTAGACAAAGGTAATATTCGTACTAGTTTTGAAGGATAGTAAGACGTGGTTTTTACAATGTATTCTGGTATGTCCATGCTATTTTTTGTATAAAACTTGTAGGTACATATGACTAATAATAAATATTAATAATATCTTCTAAATTATTCTCCAGCAGATAGGTAATAGTGTCTAATACTATTATGAAGTATTTCATTTACAGATGTTGAACCTGTCTACCACAAATACTAGTAAACTCCAAATTGGATAAATTTGGATAAAATTTGATTTTGCACTAGTTTTTCTTGGAAAATGCCAAAAATCTTCATGCAAACATATTCGCCAGCACAGCTAGTTAAAATACATATGTGTATATTTACAAACAAAACATTTTTATGTTTAGTTGCTTTTTCTAATCAATCGATATTAATAGTAAAAAAATCACACAGGTATGAAAGTAGGTCATAAACATTATCTTTAATTCAATTCAAATAACTAGGTATATTTAGTTGGTGCCTATTGAAAAATTCATTAAACTCGAACTGTTCGTAGTTAAGGTAAGCGTAAGAAAACGTCGATTCATTAGACATAAATTACTATACTAGAAAATGAAATCTACATCATTATAGCAATAATTGCCATCATCATACTCGCCGTGTATTTTCTTCTTTATTAATGAGACATATTTGTGTATTAGGTTCATATGTCCCTATTTAGAAATATTCCTTTAAAAGGATGTCAACAGATTTAGAATCAGTCTGAAGGTGAATCGCAGCAGATTATTTGTTTGTTTTTAAGTCAAGATAAAATGTAGGTATTAATTTTACATAATAGAGTTCGCGTTTATTCGCGATTTTATTATATAATATCTGCGGAAGACGCCGCAAACAAATCTTACATTATTCAGTCCAGATAAATATAAGTATGCAATATCAAATATGTAAGAAAACTTCTTGTGTTCGAAATTGTATGCTTCTTAAAATCTTCAGTAGGTAGGAGTAATACGAAATCGTTGCAGGGACAAATGTTGCTTTGCTTATGCAAAGAAATTGTACAGATTTTCATTAGTGATGCAACTAAAATCACGTTGACCATCACCACAATAGCTATTTCATTTACAAATATAATATATTTCGATATAGATGCGTTTGTGAAAGATTAATTTGTTGCATTTTATTTGTCTGCGTCAACTAACGGTATCGATGTCTGAATTGGATACATTTCAATATTGTCCGCGCTATCAATAGCCCTAGTACTGTTATAGCAGTTATCTCGGTAGTCGAAGCATGCCAGGTTTTGTTATATGTATATTATTGTAATAATAAGGTTAATTTCAATTCAGTTTACTTCACACTATGTAGATCTAAATTTTATCGACACGCAATTAACTACTAATGTTAATTATCTAAGTATTTTAATAAGTTATTAATAAATAATTACTTAAGAATTATTTACTAAAATTTTCTATTAATATAAATAGATAATATCTATTTCTTCAGTTCTATGACATTAATTTATAATTAGTCTTTAATGAGTGTGAATTTTTAGTTGGAAAATTACTTATTAAATTAAAACATAATTTTAACTTCTAACTGTATGGAGTAGATGTAAGTTGCTCAGTAAGCTATCCATTTTATGCCCGAAATCTTCCTCAGACATAATCCGTAATGAGAGATCTAAAATAAATTGATAAAGTTCCAAGGATCAGCAAGTTCAAGTGGTAACGGACTAGTCATATCTATTTAATAGCACATATTTGAAGGCGACATAATAATGATGTTGACACATTATTATCAGGAAATATCTATACACTCTATATTATCAGCCTTAGTCTACTATCTTGTAAATTTTATCCTCGAGGCTTATGGTTTCCCATAGTTTGAAATATCTGTAATCTTATGGCTTTGGATAAATTATTTCTAAAAGACTCAGCGGTATATTTGCTAGCGAATCACAGTTGCTTATTGTGTTGCATGGATTTTAATCTCTGCATGGATGCTATGCTTGCTGTTGCATGCTATCTTTACATATTATGCTTAAAGCTAGACTTGTGTATGTTTTATCAACATATTATGTAATGTAAAGTTTCCTATGGACGAGTCTTATATGTTGTAATTGGCTCAAATAAAAATATGAATTGATTATGTGCTAGTCATTCTATCCTGTCAGTGAAGACCTTCAGAATGTAGGCAATAATGCCATAGGCACGAGTAATTTGCTAAGCTGAAGGCCACAAAGGTGAATGAGATATCAGGTTAATATCATAAATGCTATATAATATTTGTCACATAACCTTGCTCCCGATAGTCGCCTCCCAACATTCACATAGTGCAGCAGACCGAGCACTTAGCAAACTAAATGCGTTAATTATGGTTTTTAAGTGACTATTATGTGCTTATTGTGTACAGGTCAAGCTATTATGTATAGGCCAGTAGGCATATAAGCTTACTTGTTTTAAGGGACATACATCGCGGATATATGTTTTTCTATAGATATATGACTGTATTGAGGCGATGATTACAAATGATTATGATGATTATGAATGATTTTACAAATAATGAGAACATCGTGGCTTAGACTAAATATTAAAGTGAAACTCCAGAGGAATACATGATGGTGCCTGGTGAAGATACATAATGGCAGGCTATTACGGCATCATAAAAATGTTTCGAAAAACAGGGCATATTTATTACTATTAATTATTACTTTAGCAGTAATTATTATTATTATTTCAACCGTTAACCGTCCACTGCTGGACATAAGCCTTCCCCATAAGGGAAGTTTTGCCAGTAGTTGCCACGCTTGGCAAGCGAGTTGGCAACCGCAGTTAGGCTTTTAGAAATGTTTTAAGAGGGACGCTGCTGCCCATCTCTCGCCTTCCCTTAATAGCCTCTTACGACACCCATGGGAAAAGAACGGGTAGCCCATTCTTTGCCGGGGCACACATGGCGAGTCAGGTGTAATGTGACATGTGAGGTGAAATGTATCTTTTAGGTTACAATATATTGGTTTATATTAAAAAGAAATTGTTTTTGTTCTCATTCAGGTGACCATATGTGTGGTCGGTGACGCATCGTCAGCACGAGAAGCTAGCAACTCGGAAGATGAAGCCGCGGGGGGCGAGCGTCATGCACGCCTTCACTGCGCTTACTATGTTGACCATGGCTAATGGTATGACTGTGACTGTTCATACTTTTTTGAGAACAGTATGCGAATGCTTTATGCTACTCTGGTAACGATAATCAATTTAATAGCAAAGGTGGTGTCCACCATCGTCGTCAACCAAAAGCAAGTATATATATACGGAATGTACAGCAGCATTCCAAACAAGTCCTTTAGTGGTTTTTGGTATCTTTGATAGATTGTTACTTTGATAGTTATGGCGAAAATGAAAAAAGAAATGTTGTTTACGAAAAATATAAAATTATTTAGTAAATAAACCATCAATCATATGCCGATTACAAAATTGATATTTAAATAATAAAAATGATTATCATTACATTGACGTACGTTCCAATGCATTTAATGCATTTTACAATAACAAAATATAACAGCCGATAAGAATCAACAATGCCTCTGAACTGTATATCCCACTTGGAAATACAGTCGTGAGCATTATCGTTCACTATATGAGTTGATACTTACATATGTAAACAGTCAATCATGACATGACCTACTTTCGTATTTGTAATGGAAATCGAAATACAAGTATCAGTATAATTTCGGTGATCCGGTTGTGGATTTGGTGAAATTGAGTTTTGTAATAACAAGCGGTATTGTAGATATTTTTATCTGTCTCTTTTATAAGCAAAGTGAATTTCTGTTTCAACATCAACATTTCAGCCATTAGTGAAAATAGGTGTCTCCCATATACTGCCACCTGCATCCACTGACTCCCGTCAATGTATTTGAGGTCGTCACTCTATCTATTTGGGGAGACATTCTACACTGCTTTTGCTCGTACGGGGTTGCTACTCAAGAACTTTTTTTCCCCATTAGTTGTCGGTTCTTTGAGCTATGTGGTCAGCACATTGTTATTCTGTTAAATTTCTTACTTTTACTTAATGTTTCAGCTCAAACAACATGCAACCAAGGGATGGGTCGTGTTATGTATGAGAGATTACCGAACCAACAGCTACATGGATTCGACGATGACGTTGTAAGTTGATCTTTGTAATGCATAAGTTAATGTTTATCACGCGATATCTAATACCCACATTTTAGGTGTAGTTCTGTAAGCTTAATACGTCAGAATAACAACAAAAAAAACATTTATCTATTACGTGACAAAAGATTTTAAGGCAAAACAATTTGATTATTTATTCTGCGTATAAGACCTTTGTGTATTATTGCAGGTACGTGAGACAGCTCCGCCGTTCCGCGTACTGGAGAAATGTCAAGATTTATGCCTCCGGGATCGCTCAGTCAACAGCCTAGTGAGGACATGCAACTCTATTGATTTCCAGCCTGGTGCTCGTATAGCTGCTTTCAGCCCTGAACCGGAATATGAGGAATCTACATGTTTCTTGACTCGTGAACAAGCAACTCCAGAGGGCATTGGCACACTCATGATTGTTCCAAATAGCGTGCATTTCAACGAGATCTGCCTTACTTGTAAGTTTTTAAATGGATACAATATATTATTCCAGATACAGTGTTAAATAGATGCAGCAACTGCATGTACAATAGTTTGTATATTAAATTCATAAAATATCCGTCAACCAATTATATATTTACATGTATAAAAATCAATAGTTTTGTATATACTGATATAGTTTATTTCTATTGGAACTTGTTTATTTATCAATAGTTTTTATAAATGAATAATATTATTTTAGCTAATCGTCCGGAACGTGAATGCCCATCGCGTCGATATGTTTTTGAGCGTCATGCTCGCAAACGTTTGAAACTTCCACCTTCAGACCTTAAAGAAATTATGGTTGCTAATCGAACTGAATGCGAAGATAAATGTTTGGCGGAATTTAGCTTTGTTTGCCGCTCTGCCACCTACGATTCTGAACTAAGGACTTGCTCACTTAGTAGATTCACGCGAAGAACACACCCCGAGTTATTGGAAGATGATCATAAGGCAGATTATTTGGAAAATACTTGCTTAAACGGTATGTAGATGACAATAGTTATGGATAACAATCCAACGTATCTATTCTGAAACGTATTTATTCTAAAAGATTATCAGTTACATTTCCTTCTTGGCATTAATTGTGTTTTAGCTGAACGGCGGTGCGATGGTTTAGCTGTTTTCATTAAAGAGGAAAATAAGCGACTTGGTGGGCCGTTTGAGGCTGATGTGTTTTCAAATATGACTTTGGACGAATGCCAAGCGATGTGTGTTCGAGCGGAAAAGTAAGGATTTAAGTTGTTCCTTCTGTACTCGTATATGCGCTTCCTATTGTTTTTAACCTTGTAATTTTATTTTATCTCTTTAAATGAATATCGATTTTGATTAATTTGTCATGTCTTTATTTATAAGATTTAATTATTTATGGATATTTTAATGGATACTTATTTAATATGATGTGAGAAACATTAACCTACATTCTCTTGAAAATGTTAACCTGTGTTGCATAATAGGTTTTACAAATTAAAATTTTAAACTTGAGACATCATTAACGTTTTACAATATTTTTATTTATCTCAACGAGGTGCTTTTATTAAAAATGTGGTTAAATTTGTTTATGTTAAACACTTTACAGATATTTTTGTCGGTCTATCGAGCACGATGCAATGACAAGACAATGTGTTCTCTCCGAAGAGGATTCTGTATCACAGAAAGATGATGTAACTGTTAGTGCATCACCAACGCATCATTTCTATGATCTTGTTTGTCTGGACAATCGTGAGTGTTATTCTTTATTTTTCCAATATTTAATTGTTAGTCTGTTAGTTAACTAGTGTTAACAATGATATAAATTTAAAAGTGTTTGAATTGTTTACAAAATAATAATCTAAACTATTAACAACTAATATAATTAAAAAATATTAACTTTACAACTTTTATGTGGTATGATTTATTGTTTTTTAGAGACCGGAATGAACGCGACCATTTAGGTAAAATATAGTCATTGAACTAGGATTATCTCAACTTTTCGGTTACATCGGTCGTGGTTATAACCTAACATAATATAATGACTATATTTTACGTAAACGATCACGTTAAATCCAGTTTTTTGTAAACTATGATTTTGAAAATATTTTGTAATTGTATAAATAATAATATTGTTACTAACATTTTATATATAATATGAATTGTTCGTAAACAGAATTAAATAGCTAACTTTGACTAACATGAACTGACACCACACTAAACCAAAATAAGGTTTTTCTCACAATTATGATCAGTTTCTCATCGGGCAGCTCGTGGCACGGAGTATCCAGATAATAGCGTAACGTCACACCTCTTCTCCCCTGGAAGGAGACCGGATACTGCCTTCCAGAGGTATAGAGTCAGCAGAATTACCGGGGAGTTCCATTCTGAAATTACTGGACGTTCGCTTAGTGAATGCTTAGACGAATGTTTGAGGCAGACAAGTTTTCAGTGCAGGTATGTCATGTAGAAGTAACTGTTTATTATGCTTAGCAAATAATGGCTCCTTTAATGTCTTTAACTAAATTGGACTGCTACTTCCTGTGTGCTGGAGTAAATATAGTGTTACAGAATATCTAATTATACTTCTTGCTTTTATATAGCTATAAAATATATGAGATTTAATTAAAAATGTTGTACAATAAAATGTACAACTACAAATACAAGATTCGTAATCGCCAGATCCTTCACTGTGAAAATATAGGCGGAGACCTATTTAGCAGTGGACAATTGACAGTTTGTAATGACATTTATAATTTTGAAAAATATTCATTCATTGTTATCCTATCCAATTACATATTTTATTATATTTTTACATTTACCTTCACCTAATTTTAAATGTCAACATAACAAGATTAATAAGTGCTGTTGTCAGTAATATCAAAACTTGATAATCTATATGATATAGAATACCTTGAAAAGTACATTCTTCGTAACATCAAGCTTTCTTTTAGGTGTATATTATTATACTCACACTTTATAAACAACGATAAAATATTAAAATCAAATATGTTTATCTCACCAAATTATTGCAGTATTTTCCGAGTAATCTCTTATAAACAGATTTGTGTTTGTGTGTCATAACAATTTAGCGATAACTGTATCTGATCAGTTTGTATGGTTCATTGTACGATATTAACAAAAGCTTTACAATTTTAGGTCGGCCGTGTACAGCGACCGAGCGAGGACCTGTCGCTTGAGCCGATACAATCAGAAGGATGGCATGCGCTTAATATACGATCCTGATTTTGATTACTACGAAAATTTAATGCGTAAGTATTATTTTATGGTATTTATTTTTAATTTATAAATTTATTAAAACAAGTTGTTATGTTTTAATTATTACAATTACATTATTATGTTTTATACAGATAAAAGTAATTAAATGTCTCAAAAATAAAATAGATAGATAGATATTCTTTATTGTTTTCTTCAAAAAAATTGTAAATATTAAATAAACTTGGGAAAAGTTTCATATGACATGAACCTATTGACAAGTGTTTAATTTTGTAATTATTACAGTAAAAATACTTTTAAACTTGTTATATATCAAGGTATCAAAAGCAGAAATTTTAATTTTAATAAATATCGTCTAAAAAGCGAAAGACTAAAATCGAATAACTATGTGACCGCATTTCATAGATTCTTAAAATAGGTTACTGCTGCTAACATGCTCGCATATATTTTAAGGTAGTATTTATAGATTGCAATAAACCAAATTGTATTGTGATTTTCTACAATGTAAACCTACATTCTAGTTTGGAAAGTGCGGTTATTAAATGTTGAAATATAAGATACGTAATACTCAAAAAGATCTTAAATAAAAATAATTTAGTTTAGTTTAATATTTGATTTGTATTTAGTTTTTATGTATCCTACTCTAGACATCAGGGTTATATATACAGAATAACAAGTAGAAATCAACTTACTACAGTAAGGTTCTAGAAATAGTAAAATATTTACGTTATTTTACTAATATTATAATTATACATATCTATACTTACACGATACAGAAAACATGGGTTCATGACCGTGAGAATAATTGTATGCGAGAAGGAAGGAAGGTTTCAATCAAAGTAGATACGTATATGTTATTCTAAACTGGATGATCAATAACATCTTTGTACAGATAGTAGCAAAGTATTATGCATATTGCAAAATATTTCCTTGTTTACATTGTATTGTCCGTGATCCGATGTCCGCTTTTAATTATATCTACTGTTTTCAATAACATATTTAATTTAATGGTGCGTAGATAATATATCTATTTTTGAAGGAAACTACTCTTCTTCACATATTCAATTTGTTGTAATCGAAATTTTGTGTCTATAGTAAAGTATTGGGTTAAGAGATTGGTTTAGAGATATGACGCCTTAGAATCGATTAAATTATTGTAACCTAAACTAAAATGCCATCGGTACTAACATATGCTTACTACAAGTGGCCAATTGCCTTAACAAGGCATGTAGCATACCAACCGACATTGAACCCATTGTGGTCTATAAATATCGTATGTTTCTCTAGATACTCATATGAAACTAGTTGTAAATATTGTAGATCACTTAAAACATTCTTATAGTGATTATATTATTGAATTTGTCGTAAATATTAGGAATACTTATCTATTTACTTGTAAACAATGTTGCAAATAGAATTTACGAGTATTATCAACTATGTAATTTTAATAGACTTAGTTGTGTTGTATATTACGTAACAATTATGTATATACTGTTATATATTAATACAATGTTATGTATGTCATAACTTATACTTTTGATAATATGGGGATCCAGATCAACTAGTGAGTGGTGAGAGCGAGTCGGGGGGTGCGACCAGCGGTTCCCAGGCCCCGTGGGGGCGGCCCACTACCACAGGTTCGGTGCATGGTAGTCCAAAGGGCTGGTTTTTTGATAATTTTGATAGTTAAATTTCTAGAAGTTACATGTTTATTTGTTTTTATATATTTATAAGTATATACTCTACTCTGTGGTATATATTTTATGCTTCATTATCTATTTATATTAGTTTTATTTTTATTATATTTCGCTAAATTCGATTTTAATGATTATTTTTCAATTAAAAGTGAACACTTAATTACTTGTGTTGATCCAATATTGAATTTTTTAAAATAAAAATTGGTTTTTTGTAGACAAAAATCAATTTCAAATCGAGAGTACTATCTTTAATCTAGGCTTATGAATAACTAGGTACTATATAATTAATTAATATATGTATAAGTAATTTAGGTCCTATAACTTTTTCAAAACTAGTTTATGTTCAACACGAAAATAAACTTTTGTGAATAAAAAGAATAATCGAAATGATTTCACAATGGTAAAATATCACGCGATTTTGTAAAATACATATAAAAAATTACAATCGAATTAAACATCTGGTTTATTAGGAATTTGGTTAAAAATAAACGGCCCTTGTTTACCATGTGGCATGTCGTTGTAATGTTTATATATTTGATTGATAATTAATTCGAATGAAATGTGACCATGACCAATTGACTAATGATATTACGATCACGTAAATGGATCAGATTATTATGTTGTCGTTATTAATGGACATAAAGAAATATTTTATAACCAGCTGTTTTTACATAATAATACGTTTAATTATGAAATAGGTGTTAATGATTAGGTATTTTCCTTTTTCATTTATATCTATTTTTATATTCCATCTCAATTTTCATATATACTTCATATATCTTTCTATGTTTTACAGACTACTGTTACCACTTCTTTCAGTTGAATCGTCTTTCAGTTTTTGAATAGGAGATAATCTGTCCTGGACTAAATCATTCTAAGTTAAAGCTAAATTTAGCTTTAACTTAGAATGATTTAGTCCAGGACAGATTATATTAGATGAGGTTTTTATCTAATAATTTTCTTTTAGTTTTTCTATGTTATAAATCAAGTCTATACTTACAGAAATAGTAGTCAAACACATACGCTATTATACAATAGTATCATAAATATTGTTTATTTTTAAATAAATAAATTATTATTATTTATTTTTTATCTATTTTTATATAATTATATAATACGAAAGTGTTATATATTACTGGCATGCATATTTTATGAATAATTTTTGAAGGAAAAATGTTAAGAGGGATGTATATAGTAGAAGGATTATTTTTATTTTAGTTTGGTTTTATCAGTTATTTACTTATAATTGGCTATAGTACTTATTATATTTTAAGTTGTTATTAATAAAAAAAGGATAAGAAATTAGATGGCTTAGTCCATGTATGAGTATATGGAGAATTTATTGCTTATTTGTTTTATATTATGTACTGCACGTTAGAATAAGTTTTTTTTTATAGTAGACAGATACTAGGCAGTTATAATTTATTATGTGAGTAGTATTGAGTGTTTTAGTAGCTTAATTTAGTAAAATTAGTTCGCATACCATCTCACAGTCCGAAAATCATCAATGTAGAAATTAGTGCATGATTTACAGCACCTTATACTTTTGTAGTTTTAGATACATATATATAAGGACAATTTATCTAGCATCATCATCATCATAAAAAAGAATAATGTAATTTGATATCGTCAAAAAAGTCTTTTGAATTTTTTTAACATGTATAAGTTGCCTGTCAATTGTTACAATACACTTATAATTTATGAATTGTAGATAGTAAAAATAGCACTTATTTTGTCAACTTCTTGATTGATTGAACTTCTCATTGCTGATTAACAACTTGACGACATGTAAATATAAACATATCATTTATCCATTCATTAACGTTATCTCTATCCTTCGAAGGTGGTAATGGCGGCAACGGTGGTGACCGAGACAGGTACCCACCAGGCACTGATCGCGATCGTTACCCTGATGATGACCGTTATCAAATGGACGACGAGCGGTATAGCGGTAGACCCGACCGGTATCCACCTGATGACCGGTACCCGGGCGGACCTGATATATACCCGGATAGGTACCCGGGCGAGCGCTATCCACCTGCTGATAGATATCCAGATGACAGATATCCACCTGGTGTGGGCCCTGACCGGTACCCGCCAGGAATAGATCGATATCCCCCAGGCATAGATAGATTCCCTCCTAGCAATAGATATCCAAGCGGCGACCGCTATCCTCTTGACAGTGGCAGATATCCGCTTTACGAATACCCTACTAATGATATTAACAGATACCCTACTTCTGATCGTTATCCTATCAGTAGATATCCTATTGACATTTACCCTGACAGATACCCAATTGACCGGTATCCGGATAGGTATCCCGTCCGTGGTAGTGGGAGATATCCTTCTAGACCTTGGATCCCTAGTCGTTATCCTGATAGATACGATCAGGACCGCTACGCTGGATCCAGTGATTGGGGGCGATATCCGTTTAGTCGGTACCCGGTTGGAGTTAACCGAGACCCGGTACCTTTAGGCGGAGATCGATACCCAGATTTGTATGACAAATATCCGCCGACCGGATCGTCATATCCTGGTAAGCACCATACTAATACACTAGTGATCTATTATTTTATAGCAAGTTTTATAGATAATTTATACTTAGGTACTCTGCACAAAATATTTTCCACTTACAAATTCATATTTATTTGTGAATAAAATATTGTATTTTACTACTCAGATATATTTCAACAAATAGTTTGCAGTTTGCATTTCGCGACCCTTGTATGACAAATCACAAAATAGCAACGAGCTATTCGTACTATAAAACTTCTACACATTTGTATTTTACACAATTTATCATAGAACGATTACTTCCTCATATTTCTACTGCATCCTTTTACTACTAGACGACACGAGGAATTTTTATGATAAATTGATTTTCAGTAAGCACATTATTTAAATAAAGTATTTTACAGCTGGTTATGGTCGCGGTGGTTACTACGGTTCAGATTATCCGCCACCAAGTCGATATCCGGGCCCAGACAGAGGAGTCCGTCCTTTACCAGATAGGTAAGTATTTATCTATGAGTAATCATGTCATATTTTAGGAAGTATATCATTATCAATAGCTATATTACACGTATCTTCTTTTTCTTTCTACTTTAATAAGTTCTTATAAATGTCTATGATTTCATAGGTATCCCGCTGAACCAAGACCTAGTTTTGGTTTGAGAAGACCCATAGATAGACCGGGAGGATATCGCGGTAGTTATCCCCTTCCTGGATTGGACCGTCCTATCGGTAAGTTTTGCTCTGATCATGATGTGATTCTCTAAGTAATATCGTAGGACAAAATAACTGAAATATTTGATTTTTAAAGGTGGAGGTGGTTATGGAGGATTTGAACAAGATGGGCCTATTGGACCAGGAGGACCAATTGGTGGACCCGTCGGAGGTCCTTTAGGTGGTCCAATTGGTGGACCAATAGGTGGTCCAATTGGAGGAAGACCACCAGTGGGCCACAGACCATGGCAAGGATCTCGGTGCGAGGAAGATAGCTTTAGACAAGTCGGTAGGCAGCGTATGCAGAGACGATTTGTGCGTCGGTTTACAACTGCTCTTTCGTTAGCACATTGCCAGCGGGAATGCATTGAAGCTCGTGACTTTATTTGTCGCTCCTTTAACTTCAGGTATGAAAAAGAACCATTAGAAATATTAAGTTTCGAATTCTTTACAATTCCGAAATTTGAGAGTGCTTAGTGAAATAAAGATTAGTTCTGGTTAAGGATTCAAATAATTTTACAGGGATACCGGTTTTGGAAGTGAACCTCGGGATAATTGCGAACTCAGTGACCGGGACACTCGTGAATTAGATGCTGCAAATCCTGCGCATTTCGACAACACTGCCAATGATTACGATTTTTATGAACGAGCTCTTGGTCGTATTGCTGACGATTGTTTGGATGGTAATTAATAATAATTACATTATAGTTAGTTCATATGTAATTATATTTAAATTCTAATTGGAAAGTTTAGTTTATATGATATATTGTTTTTGGATGCTGCGATGTAACGAGTACATACAGCCCACGTGTACATAGTTTTGGTGACATTTCCAGATACACTTTTAGAAATAATATTCATTTACAGTATCTCAAGTATGTAATGAAGACGGTATGGAATTCACACTGCGATTGCCAGAAGGATTTTACGGACGAATGTACACCTACGGCTTTTATGATCGCTGTTTCTTCCGTGGAAATGGAGGCGTCAATAATGTTCTGCGCATTACAGGCGCACACGGTTACCCAGAATGTGGCACACAACGAGTACGTTATTTGTTAATAATTAATATTTTTAAGTGCTATATCATAAAATGTGTTTGTCTCTCTGTCATCGAGTTGTTTTATTGGCGAAACTACTGATCCAATTTGTTGGAAAAATAGTAGAAAGATATAAGTTTATAGATGGGCGTCATTTAAACTTTGACATGAGTGTCTTTTTCAAAGAGATGTATGATCTTTTTTTGTGTTTCTCACTACTACTACTCAATGTTTAAAACATTTTGAGAATGTAATTAGGGATAAATACGAAGTCGTTTAATTAGTTTTTGACTTGATGTTCAATTAAAATCTTGTATTGTTTTCCTCAATACTACTGCGGAGATAGCTAAGAAAACAGGATTACATCAGCATATTTTCTATATAGAAGTTCACAACGAATTTAAGTATTGTTATACATAAGAATGGGTATAATTTGTCTGCATATGTGAAATATATTACCTGAAGAAGGCAACAAACATGGAGTGATTATACTGTGTAGTGAAATTATTATGATAATTTTATGTTTTAAAAATAACCATTAAGTAGGTATGTTTTTTGTTTTAGTACGGGGACACAATGACGAATATAGTAGTAGTGCAATTCAGCGACAATGTTCAAACATCGAGAGATAAACGGTTTAATCTCACCTGTCTATTTAGGGGACCAGCTGAAGCAGTCGTTACGTCCAATTATATCGGAGCTGGGTGAGATAATTTAGTTTTATTAATTTATGTCTATTTGGAAATTGCTGGTAGCTAAAAATAGATTTCATGTCAACAATTTAATTATCATTTTACACGCACATGTTGTTTTCAAATTAAAATTATGTTAATGTGTGTGATAATGATAAAAATTGTTTCATAAGAGATTATATTTTTATAACGCATTACTGTTCTAATTTATGTTTATTTATGTGTTTACAACATAAATAAATATACATTTTAAAGTTCAAATTGTTAGCTACCAACTTTTCATATTTTTCCAAATAGACATTTTGTGTTGTTGTTACAATATTAACAGTTAACGTAACGTGACTTTGTAATTTAGCGCTTTTAGCAGTTTTTTTCTATACTTTATAAATATTTGGGGTATTTTCGAGATATGTAAATAAGTAAAAAAGTTTTTATGTTTATACATAACGGTGGTATTTAATGGGATAATCTGTTTTGTGTGAGTTACCTTGTTTGTTGTTTGATTGACATGTTTTTAGTTGCAATTTTAAGGTAACTGCGGCGTCGGCTTCATTGTACTTAATTTATTTGGTGGTAATTTTTTTGTTTGTGAGTGCTGTTATTTCACTAACAGCTACTAACTAGAGACTTTGAATGAATTCGTAAAATATAATAGTATGAATATTGGGAATTATTTTAAGCCATCATTAGCTTTTTGCTTTCGTCATCCATGTGATGAATATAAATCATAAAATAGTGGATGCATTAAAAACAAGGTCATCTTTGTTATTCAATTAGGTTAATATAAGAATTCATTTAAAGTCAATGACTGTGCATTTAAAGGATTATCTCCAAGTCTTACCTTAGTTTGGGGTTTGATCCTGTCGACAGGTCGGGCAGTCCGATACCCATCGAGTATTTACCGGAGGAAAGTTCATTGAACTCTAAAGTTCGTTTGATGATCTTGTACCAAGGCCGACCAACTACGACAATAGCTGTAGGAGATCCACTAACATTCAGACTGGAGGCTCAGGATGGATATAATTACGCAACGGACATTTTTGCTACTAACGTTATTGCAAGAGATCCTTATTCTGGCAGATCTGTGCAACTTATTGATCGAGTAGGGTAAGTAAAATGTAGTTCGGATTGACCTTTTTATGATACTTAGAATGACAAATAAGCTGACGGCCTACCTGATAGAAAGCAGCAACCATCACTTATAAATATCAACAATCACCGTGGATGTTACCGAATAACCTGTGATACCCATGGTACTCCATATAAGATGCAATTCTTGAGGATTATGGTGTTATGCCTCTGCACTCTATAACTTCATTGCTATATTCCTAAAAAAATCACTAAAGACAAATCGAACGTGTGAAGTAGAGAGGAAAGTGATGACAAAGGATAGATTGATATTGGATTAGAACAGAGCCGTAGCTAGAGTAGGGCAGAAGCCAAAATTAAGTGATTTTGAAAAAGCAAATCTGTAAAATTTTTTGGGGCCTTTCATTTTAAGGTCGGCGTGGGCCTTGGCTTAGAGAAAGCTAAATATTAGAATATATATTTTTTTCTCTTGTAAATATGATTATAAATAAACTTTACAACTTATCATGAATTTCATCATGTAATACATGAACAAATACAGTACCTATCGCACGTTCAACAGGCTAGATAAATATTTATAAATCGACTTCAACCACGCTTTATTCACGTTATTATCACGTGATGTGTTCTATACTTTTAGATGCCCAGTGGATCCTGATGTGTTCCCTGAATTGGACAAAGGAAGGAGTGGGGACTCCCTTGAAGCTAGATTTAACGCCTTCAAAATACCGGAATCCAATTTCTTAGTTTTTGAGGCAACCGTGCGTACGTGCCGTGATGGATGTCAACCGGTTAGTATCTCTTTATACAATGTACAGGTTTATCTGTCTCGTAACTATGTCTTTATTCATCCAAGGTCCTTTGAGATGGCCAAGAGAACTGAGTGGCACCTGTCTTTATTTTTACATGTAATAATATTCCTACTAATTATAAATGTGTTGATTGATGAAACTTTGTAGAGATGTATGAATAGATGTTTGTTATTCTTTCACGAAAAAATGACTGAATTATGAAAATTTTTAAGAAATTTAGTACATGGGTAGGATATTTTTTAACTTAACACATATTATACTTTATGTTGTCATTCATGCGGGCGAAGCTGCGGGGTATAGCTAATAACAAATAAATGTAAGTAGAGCTTGTAATATGCTATAGCTATTAGTGGCATACCTAAAACATCTAAGGTCCGTGGTAAATCTTTCCGATGGGGACCTCCCTTTACCTAATAATTAAGTATTGTGCCCCACAAAAAACTAAAATTTAATAATTAAATATTAGACTCTTTCTGTGCTCATAGTTACTCGATCCACGGTGTTAGAGAAAAGATGTAGGAAGGTCCTTTTTAATCCTGGTTAATTAACATACGCCAGCCACGAGAACGAAGTCGTAGATAAAAACTAGTACTTAATAAATACGTGTTATATAATCAATACCAATTGTCTGAACCGATATCTTTTCTGTATTATTCATAACAAATTTATAAAGATACAGACCAAAACTAAGTCCCGAGTGAATTTTATAAATGCAAATATAAAAAGTCGGTAATGTTCATTTCTTAAAATGACTGACTGAGAATTGAATATGAGATGTTCCAAAACCTTCATCATCATCAAATCAGCCTTTAACTGTCCACTGCTGTACATAAGCCTCCCCCTTGGGGAGATTTGCCAGTAGTTGCCATGCTTACCAGTAATTGGCAGGCGGATTGTCAACCGCAGTTAGGCTTTGGAGATGTTTTAAGAGGGACGCTGCTGCCCATCCTTCGCCCTCCCTTAGTCCCCTCTTACGACAACTACGGGAAAAGAAGTGTGGCCAATTCTCTGCCGGGACCACACGCCCAAGACCTATATAATACAAGCAAAGTGACTCACTACGCTTTTGTCTATGGTAAGGATGTCATTATCTCAAATCATAATACAATTTCTAATCCGTGACTTTGTTTACGTGATTAGGACAAAAATTTGCCTATGTCTTTCCGTGTGTATTTTAAATAAAATTTATTTTATTTCAATTAGTTAATCCATCAAGGCACCAAGAAATAGTCAATAAACCTACTTTGACCCTAATATCAGTAACAAATAATTGGTCACCTGTGACCGTCTTTAAAATCATGTACCTTGCACTTGATTAATTAAATTTATTTTGGCATTTACGTCACTATTAGATAGTTTTATGCCTAATATAAATATCCAATTACGTCAATGACCATAAAAATAAACGTTATCAAATCATTACTTGAATGAGGGCGTTCTGGGGTTATCTATAGTCATCCAGTTAATAAGCTTTTGTCTATGGAATAATTTAGTTATTTATGCAGTTCAGTCATGTAATTACCCGTATATTTAGCTTTATTTGATTGCAATAGAGTTGCAAATTGTTACAAACGTGTTGCTATATTTAAAATGATTAATAGTAAATATTTTGAAATACGAGTATAATGCGTTTTAATACCCAAACAACATGTTTGTATATTCGGATAGATGAATAATAGAATTATAGTAGATATTATACGTTTTTTATCCAACTTGGTTTAAGTTAGTAGTTTACCTCGAAGATCGTAGTAACCATTGCCTATAGACTTGAACACCATGGACTTCGGTGTCACTGAATTAAATTTAAATCGTCCGTTATTTGTTTCAGTTTTATCGTTAAACACATAATAAGTAGTCATTTTATTATTGTATTTCTTTTGTTTTTTTCTTTTATTCATTAAAACCTTCCGTGGTCTTCAATGAATGGTTCAGCTGTAAAGTTTGCACTTAGCAACACATTTAGCCATTCATTTTTATTTCTACAAGATTATTTAATTTTTTTTTTCTCATAATTTCCATATACGGGTTTTAAACTATCACTATGCCAATATTCATATAAATGGATCAAGTCAGTAATTGACTAATAAACGGGAAAATGTAAGTACTTACTAACCTCATCTCTTGAGGATAAAACTAGTAAAGATTATCTTCGTCTTTACATCTATAAAAATTTTAAAACTACATTATGTTTACATGGTTTGTGGATTAATTTTATGGTAGTTATGTATCCGCCTGGATACATGGAGAGCTTCTGATTTATGATTGCAACCAAAGTCAACGATTCCGTTTATTGTCTTAGATAACATCAAAATGATAATTAAAGTCCACCTTCAAAGTACAAGGGTTATCCTTTGCACTTTGGAGGTGACGTTTGATAGCATTTTAAGATATTAGGATGGTCTCGGTGATTGATATCTGTACACTGATCGGCCTAGTCAATTATGTATTTTTCAATAAACCTAATTCTTACTTGTGTAGATCGTAGGAATGGTAGCCCACATTGTATTATATATGAATTTTTATGCAATTTATGATATAAACCTACTTATATTATATATTAATTTTTTATCAACACATATTGATAAAGAAAAAGTATAATCTATCTATCTACTATATATATAGGTGTTGACTTAGGTACTACAACAAAATCGTATGAGTTAAAGTTGTCTTTCTGACTGCTAGGTCACATTCACGGGAAAATGTCTATACAGATTTTAACGAAATTTTACTCATATTATAATTTTAATTATTGTTTAGGTTTATCTAAAAAGTGATGTAGGTTTTATCGTAATTAATTAAATGAATTATGTTAAATAGCTTGACCTTTGAATCTATGAAGCCAGGTAAAAGGTAGTTCTATTTACAGATTTAGTACGCTCGAAGGAGCTTAAAAAAGCCCCATTATCTTAGATTCTACTCGGATGGTAATTAATAGTCCCAAGGTAGGTGTATCGAATCCAATCATAAAGATGTGGGCATTTTTGTGCTTGTCTTCTTCTCAGTGATGGACTTTTAATTATAAATAGTTAATTAATATTTTTATTAACTCCTTTCCTTATAAAGATAGGATAGGTAAAGGTTTTGTTAATTAGGATATTTAAGTTTGCGAAAAAAATTTTCTAAATCGTGATTGTATTAAATAATATCATAATGTACTACTTTTGATGTGAATATAAAAATGTTTGTTGCACTACACCGTAACGAGTTTACTAGCTGTCATGTACTTAATTTAGCACAGGCACCTCCTACACGTAGAATTTGAGATAAACAAAGATATGCATAGAATGGCCACCCCTTCCTTTCTCATGAGTATCGTAAATATATCGGAAATTTATGGTCGAGAAATGGTCAACAGCGTCCTTCTCTAAACATTTTACATTGCGGTTGTCAACCCGCCTTCCAAGCGTGGCAACTATAGATAAATCCCCCAATAGGGGGAGGCCTATGTTCAGCAGTAGACAGTTAACGTCTGATATGATGATAATGAGGAACGATATAAGCTATGGTTATTTCTTTGTTATAATCTATCAATAGTTATGCCTCGGTCCAAATCGGTCTAGCATAAATAGTGAAAACGAATATACGTACTTACTAGCTGTATTCCGCGGCTCCTCCCGTGTGAATCCGTACAAAAAGTTTCCTATGTACTAAGTTGGGATTTAATCTACCCGTGTATCAAATGCCATTCAACTTCGTTCAGTAGTTTTTATGTGACAATGTAACAAACATCAATCCATCCATCTATCAGTAGATACAAATTTTGGCATTTATTATGTTAATAGGATTACGATAAACATATGAACGTAAAATTATTTGATAACGTCAAGCATGACGTTTGAAAAATGTGCCTGCTAATCAAATAATATTTTTAAATAAAATTTAATACTTTTAGGCATATTGCCCAAGTCACACAGGAAGATCTGAACCATCATTCGGCCGGCGTAGAAGAGATGTCAATACAACTGTTGGAGCTGAAACCAATGACACAATTGAAATCAGCTCTGAAAACGCTGATAGTAATGCTAATAAATCCGATGAAACAAACGCTGGTAACGTTTATAAGGTATCCTATGAAGAAGCAGGCGTCGATAAGTATCTGAAGGAAGAAGTCGAGACTCCAAGTCATGTGAGGAAAATGATTGAGGTGAGAATTTATCCATAATTTTATTTTGAGATGTGTCTTTATAAATAGGTAGACACTGATCTAACATATTTATCGTGGATGCCCCGTCTACTCTATTAGAAGCGAATGAAGTTAATTCTTGTTGCTCAGGATACACATTGGTATTCTATATTTTATTATTCTATTGGTTCCTTCAAGAAAAGTTTAAAATCACATTATCTTTTTACTGTTACTTGATTACTTCTACTAATATTGATTACAAGGTTGTATCATTGTGTTCTCAATTATTTAATATGTATATACATATACCTAGATGTAATGAAATGTAAATTTTGTAAATAGATATCATTGTTGTTATATGTCTGATTTGCACTACTGCTTCCCCTTTTGTTACTTCCTATACCACTGCGTTAAGTTGACTGAAAGTGATTTATTTCACAGATAAATTCACCTTTGCTTAAATTGTTAAAAACTTTTATTATTACTGTATGTTTTAGTGCAATTAAGAACATTGTACATTTTGCATTAAAATAAAAATATTTTTTTTTATTAGTAAGATACGATTAGATACTGAAACGTAAGGCAGGTATGTCTTATCCCTATATATTGAAATTGATGTAGTGGTTAAAATAAAAGATAATATTCTTTCACTATGTTTTTAAAATAATTTAGATTATTTAGCTATGACATAACTATCCAAAGTACATCTTAGATAACAATAGAAATATATTTCTATATATATATATATATATATATATATATATATATATATATATATATATATATATATATTATAAAATTAAGTTTTTCAATATGTATAAATAAAATTTTACCAATCAGTAGAGCTATTTAGTTTTTTACTTCTATAAAAAACTTGGAATTTTTATGTTGCTGAATCAGATACCATTCAAATCAACGACCTGATATCATTATGAGACGACTGTAACGCAGTAGTAGGCACTTTGTATTACGCAAATGAGGTCCCGCGTTCGATGCTAGTTTGGGTCAGCGGGTCTACCATGAAATGTTTTCCGAAATTTCGGAGCCAAACGAAACAGAAATTCGATGTTAAAATTACATAATACATGCAGTTTGGAAATATTAAAAATGTTAAAATATTGATCCTTTGGATATTTATAATTGGATGTATGACGAACAAAATGTTAAAATCCATTTATTGGTCCGATTTTGGTATAAACAAAAACATGAAATTGAGTACGAAATTTCGGAATTTCATTTCATGGTAGACCCTCAGGTTTGGGTTGTTATTTGCTTTCAGATGTTAACTATTTAATTCTACACAAGTACCTTATTAGCAGATCAATATATTAGACGGGACATTATTGTTTTTTATCCTTTAGGTATTCGACAATCGAAATGAGCTGTTAGAAGAAAACGGACAGTCAGATTCGGCACCAGTGGTAGCAACAGCGGGAATTTGCGTCTCACCTTATCACTACAGAGCGTTGCTGGTGGCGCTATGTGTTTTGCTCTCCTTGCTACTGGCTATGTTGACTGCTGCCTTGTATATTTACAAGTAAGTTGCTGATCATTTTCAATTTAGAAATATACATTTTTATTTATACAATATTTAATTTTGTAGTTTTAAAATAGTAGTAGTAGGTACTTACATAGGTATCCAATCTTGGTAGGAATTAAAACGTTTGCCAGCTGTTATAGTATCCCACAATATGGTGATTATGATTAGACACCTATTTATCGTAATTTTTTTAATGGATGAAAAAAGAATGGTAAAAGTATGGCAGGCACCAGTGAGGGATGATTGATGAGAATGCAGGTCAGTTAGCCCATCGTGATGAATACACTTTGCACGATGGTTATCAAATGAGGTCGTCCTGACAGGATATACTGCTAGCAATGGGACTGGTAGTTCGCATTACTAAAAATCTCTACCCCCATCCCCTATCGTAATTTATACACACCTACCTACAATTAAAAATATGTTTTATAATGAATTATTATGACCAAGGTATAAAATTACTTAATTGTTAAATTTACAACTAGGAGTTTTTATGACATTTCTAAAGTTAATTTAAATAGAGACGCCGGAATTGGGGTTTTGCAAAGAAGGCGCAATAAAACTCAACAAGCGCATAATACCTCTGGTTTTGCAAGCATCAATAGGTTATAGTAAATTCGTTTACATATTTCATTGTGTTCTATTCTATTTATTGAAATAGTCTATAGTTGTATTATTTCAATTTTAGACGATATTGGCGTATTCTGCGTAAGAATATCCAAGCTTCGAGTCCAGCACCAGCTTTACGCCCAGTGACTCCTGGTCCCAGGCCTTCGCGTCCATCATTGTTCTCAGCTTCACACCTTCATAAACCATTTTCATTAAGGTAATAATTATATAGCGTGTTATATATTGATGATATTATAAAAATACTTACAATATCATAAAATTGTGATTTACCTTCAACAGACAATCTAATAATTATTTTTTTTGTATAAATAGTTTCAGTTACCAAAAATTTAAATTTACACACGGTTTTGGCATCTCCCACATTAAAATTTTTGGTCATTAAAAGCAATAGTCGGGGTAATAAATCACTATACCATAGGCTCTATAAGTAAAATTAGTACAAAACTTTAATCCTTGAAAAAAGTACGCAAGAATATTTTGATCGTGGGTTGTATATGTATAAGATTTTTGTAACAATGTTTTATTTATTTCAGTGGTTTGGGTCGAACTTTCGCGGAGGTCGGTGAGGAAGCGGGCTCGGCTGGTCGTTTGGCGAATGCCTTCGATGACGGCAGCGAACCTATTTATACAGATCCTTCACTGTTTGAACGATCCCGCTCGCTTCGCTCTCTTCATTCATTAGATATGAAGCCCGAACGACGCGACCACCGCTCGTAGATCATAAATTCCCAGTTTTTACTATGTTAACAATATTTGTTTTCTAACTCGAGAATGAAATTAAAAAGATAACTCTTCAAAATAAATGTGCGTGCAATTAATTTTATTCTTTTAACTGCCATAAAATGTGCTCAGTATTATATCCGTCCATAGAAATTTATAAATTACAATAACATTAAATTTATATAATATCAAAAATTATTGTACTTAATTTTAAAAATATTATATATGTAAGTCAGTACTAATAAATATTTACAGTGATTCTTATTTGAAGTTTGTCTTTCCTAATTTAAAACAATAATTGATATTACAAGTTACCAGAGTTTTTCAGAGGTAGTATAATAAGGAATGAGATAATAAACATGCTGTTTCTGAAGTTAAAGTTAAGTTCTTTAGTAATATTAATTTAATACTTAATAAAATACATAGCCACTACATATGGTAAGGTGCTGGTGTTGGCACACTCATAAGGGGTGAATCTAAATATTCCATTTCACTAGTGCTAGCAGCTGGTTCTGATTGAGCATTCATCTTTTGATGCAAAGCTTCATATAGCTTATGCACAGATTCATTATGTTGAGTACCTGGTTGTAATGCCTTCATTAGTGTTTGAAGTCTAGTTTCTGGTAGCTTTGGATGTATATACCATAATAATTTTAATAAATGTCTTGTGACATTATCTTTAGACAAACCAGCAAAAAAGAATTCATCAAATAATACTGTACTGAAGTCTTCACCTTGAAATTCATCTGGCAACTGTATAAGTAAAGCAACAAGTGCATGTAAGAATGGATCTTCATAAGCCCGTCCATCTTTACAACTACCTAGGATACTTAATATTCGAAGGAGCGCCCCTCTATCTCTTAGTTTTGCGGCATGCAAAGTATAATACATAGCTAAGACTCCACAAACAGAGCTCTCTCGCATATATGCTTCACAGGCATCAGGTGGGGGCCCTGAGTGCTCAATAGTAGTAATAGCAGACTCTCTTTCATCCGGGGGCAGTTTGTTATGCAATGCTCTGACTTGATCGTCAACCATAAGTGACATAAGTGCAGGCAAGTATTTTGTGACAACTTGACTATCAAGTTTAGGTTCTTTAAATTCTTGTGAATCAATCATTACCCATGCACTCAATCCTAAGGCTAACATTCTCAATAAAAGAATTAGAATTGTATTATCTCTTGGGAGCCCTTCAGTGTTTATTAAATGTTGTAGTATTTTGATAGCAGATGTTGCCAAGAAGTTAATTGCATATGGATCACACAGTGTCATTGAAAGGTCTCCTAATACTTGTTCTTGTCCTCTTTTTATGCTGTCAAGAAATCCTTGAAGCTCTCGAGATCTTTTGATGTCAACATTTCTTTCTCTGATACAAGCATCTAAACACCATGTAAACTTGTGACAAGGATCAACAGATATGATATCTTGTATTTCTAAGTCATGCAATGCCATTAACAGTTCAGCTCTTAATGTGCAGTAGTGTACATTCCTAGTTCTCAAAAACAAAGTTCGTAGAAACTGTAAAACCATGTCATACAATTTGACACTATTGCCAATCATATGTGCCAGTTTTTGTACTACAGCACCTTGTCGTCTAACTTTGGGTGATGGTGAGAAGAACAGATTTGTGAGATTCTCATGATCAAATAGTACATTCTCTTTTTCTCTAATATATTGACTGAGAAGTGGGGACACTTCGTCACCAAATAGTGATTGATTATCTTGCCATATCTGTCTCTTTACTTCAGTATCTGTGTCATTATACAGTTCTCGGTCACGCACCAATACTCTTAAATATTTATCATCAATGTGTGGAGTATTTTTTAAAATACCCATGATAACTGGTCTAAGTGCTTTAACTCTGACGACTGGAAAGCTCTTTGATAACAGTTCCTTGAGTTTCTTGTCATTTTCTTTGCTATCTTTCGAACCAAGTTCGTTAATGTGAGCTATGAGTTTCTCTCTCAGTTCTTCTAGCACAGATGTATGAAAGTCAAGACGTCTCACGCCATGAAGGTCTAGAAGTGGTAGCATTGGTCTTAGTGATGGCAGTAAAATACCGTTTTCAAGTTGAAATTCTTCAATGGCTTTCAATGGATCCGTACAGCTAGTGAGAGCATCGCGTAGATAAGCCTGACCAGGTACTCCGACATCTTCTAAACCTGTGCCAGGCAGTTTGCTTGATGATGCCATAATAAGAATAAATTATTTCACTTAATGACATATATTACTGCACTAATATTTTTAAATAATCCACAAAATAAAAATAGTAAAGGTTAAATTTTTTTTTTTTTTTAGTACGTTTGTTCCGTTTGGAACAGGCTAAGGTCGGAGACCATGCTGCCTAGTCTTCAAAAAGATAATTTGTCTGGAATGTAAAGGTTAAATTTCATATTGTCATAGAAGTATAGATTACAGAGACTACGATTAAAGATTACAAATGTTAGTCTCTGACAGTTTTATATTAATAGTAAAAAAGTTCTATATCTACGTATTGTATTTATCATAGACATAGATTGCCGAAGAGGGTTGAAGTCAGGCAGACAGCCCATCGTAAAACTATAAGCCAAATCTTTTTGTAATATGGACAAAAAACATATTACGCCGAGCCCCAAATAATAATTGGGATAAGGATAGGAAGATGATGATTTATCATAGACAAAGAATGCCACTTAATATCTTAAGTCTATTAATTAAGTTTATAATAAATGGACCCGCAATTGTCTAAAGGCTTAGCACGCAATTAATATCGTTGTAGAAGAGACAACAAGCTATTCTGCTTTCATTGTCTTCTTACAGAGGATTTGGTAATATAGAATATTTACAAACTTTGTTTTATTGTTATATTTACAAAATTAGGACTTTTCAAAAAAATATAAGCGTGTTAAAATGTCAGTGTTAAGTCAATATATCGTTTTGTTGACGTTTTTATCATATTTTATGATTTCAGAGATGTGGTCTCTTCCAAAAATATATTGTTATTCTCTCTATGAAATCATTTCAATTATTATAAAAAAAATATATATTCTATAGTAGTTAGATGAAAATAATACCTGTATATTATCAGTTATGATATTTTATATACAGTTAGTTTATAAATAGTAGTATATCGCTATAAATGAGTAAAAGTTTATTTATGGTAGAATTATTAGATGGTTGCATGATTCATATTTCAGTTTGGTTAATATAAGGCATGTGTTAGTGCCGATTCTTAAGTAATGTAACTGTTATATTATTTTTTGTTTGTTTCATTTCAATTTCGGTGATTGAATCCCTTATTCTGTGAATTCAGTTTAGGTTTTCAGCTTCAACAGATTTAATTCATTCTTATAATCAGAGGGGTATAAGACCTTAACATTTTGGTTTTACAAATGAAAGTGTTAAAGGTTATAATTTAGTTTTTGACTTGTGATTAAGTTGTGATATAAATTGTACTGTAATTGAATTTTTTAGCAGATTATAGCATTTACGGTTTACCTGATTTGGATATTTGTAAAAAAGTACTGTAACAAAACATGTCTGACAAACAGAAAACGTAAGTTACAATTATTAAGATTTAAATTAAATAATTTATTAAAATTAAATAATTTTGTATGAATATTTTTAAAAACTAGTGTAAAATCTTCTGCTTGTAAGTTCCTCAATTATACATGGTGAGAAATAATAATAATTATTATTGTAGCCTCGTATGCGGCGATGTGAACGGCAACTTTAATACATTATTTTCCCGCGTAGAATCTATCGTGAAAAAGTCTGGACCCTTTGACGTGCTTTTATGTATTGGAAATTTTTTTGGTGATGACAATTCACAGCTGGATGCATACAGAATGCGTACAAGGAAAGGTGAGTTGCAAAATATTTAGATTATGAATATTTCTTTTTCATTTTTATATTTATACCTGGTAAAATTTGAACTTTTTTGATGGTGATGTACGAGGTTTGTCCGGAAAGTACGTATAAAAGTTTTTTAAAAATTTTATTTTACAATTATTCAGGTAAATCAATTTTATCCCCTTCAAAGTACTCCCCCTGTGACATAATGCACTTGTGCCAACGCCGTTTCCACTGTGAGAAGGCTCCTTGAAAGTCCTCTGGTTGTAGGTTTCTCAGCTGCCCCGTCGTAGCTTTTTTTTTCTCATTTATGTCCCCCAAATGCCGCCCCCCAAGTACCAATTTGGTTTTTGGGAACAAGAAGAAGTCACACGGGGCCAAATCCGGCGAATAGGGGGTGTTCGGTCACCGTAATGGAATTTTTACTCAAAAACTCACGGACAACAAGAGAGGTGTGGGCAGGGGCATTGTCGTGGTGAAGAATCCAACGCCCCTCTCGCGCCAATTCTGGACGAACTCGTGCCACACGAGCTTTGAGGCGTCTGAGCACATCGACGTAGAATTTTCCATCAACTGTCTGGCCTGGAGGGACGAATTCTTGATGGACAATCCCCCGAACATCGAAAAAAACAATCAACATTGTCTTGACATTTGAGCGGGATTTTCTTGATTTTTTTGTTCGTGGTTCCCCGGATGTCTTATCGAATTAGATCGGCAAAAATTTCACGGCCATTCTTGCCGAGTTTCGAGAGAAACTTGATTACGACGCGCTGCTCTTCAACGGAAGCGGGCTCCATGCCGACGGGGTTTCGTTAAGAGGTAACTTCACAGATGGCGTGACAAGCCAGTTCGCACCGCACGGCGGTCAGACCAGAACTGAAGCATTGTTAGGGACATAAGGAAGGGGTCCTGCGCTTACCTGGCCTCCCCACTCCTCTTTCTCGCATTCCAGAACACTTTTATACGAACTTTCCGGACAGACCTCGTACATAATTACACTTCTCTACACTTTGTGAGTAATCACAAGAGGTAGACTTTGTACAAAAGTTATTTGCTTGGGCACCTCTGTTCCATTCGTGTTTCTACTATGAAGTAGTTGTGTTTGTATGACTGTGTTTCAGTTTAAAAGGTGGGATATGCCAGTAAATTTACATGGTACAGAGGAATAACACCTGAGTACTCAGGAATGGCAACATATAGGGGTTATCATAGGCAAAACACAGAGTTTGAAAAAATCCAATTTTTTTTATATATTTCTGATATATATCCCGGCTAAGAAAAAGAAGCGAATTTCATTCTGTAAGGGGATTACAAACTTAAAAATGTGAAAGGAATTTGTAAAATAAGTACCAAATTATTACTACATTTATTATTTAAAAAAACTTTTAACAAGTAACATGTATATGATATGATGTTAAGGTTTGAATTTCAATAAAAAGCTAGTCATATTGGTAAGTTAAAGGGGATTTTCCCAACTTTAAATGATTTCAGCATTTTTGGAAACAATCTAAATTATTCTGAATTGTAGTTTTTCACTATGTGTTGCCAGGGTAAACATTAATCTCCAAAATTTTTAGTTCAGAAGACAGGAAATAATCAATTTATATTTATCAAGATAAAAATCAATTGATATATATCATGGTATATATCATGATATATATCCGCTGATATGTATTGGCGAACCCTGGCAAAACAGTATATTCTGTTATGTCCATGGTATTGTTCATGCCTGTAGGTGATGGTTACCACTTTCTATCAGGTGGGCCTTCAGTTTTTTTGCCATTCTAAGTTGCATTAAAAAAAACGTAATTACCCATATTTGTTTGTTTCAGTACCAGTTACTACATATGTTTTTGGGCCTTCAAAAAGTGAACATGTCCAATATTACTGTGAGGAAGGATCAGAAATAGTTCCAAATGTAATTTATATGGGTAATTAATGATTATAAATTTTTATATATTAAATATATTAGGTATAGTAGGTAAGGTAGCATTTTGTTTCCTGTATTGTTGATAATACAGAACAAAACACTTAACCATTGCATAAAAATGCAAATAGAATGGTCATCACTAATGTATTGTAAATATTGACTTATGCTTTGCTATTCCTTAGGATTAACATGTTATACATAAAAATATGAACCTTGTAATTTCAGGTAAGAGAGGATTGTTCACAACAAGTTCAGATATAAAAATAGCATATCTGACTGGTCTGTCTCGTAGAGAGCTTGGTAAGGATATACCAATGTGTGTATTTGAGCCCAGTGACTGTAGTGCTGTTAGAGATGCATGTTTCAGAGGACAGAGTGAGTATAGAGGGATTGATGTACTTATAACTACTCTGTGGCCTGCTGGAATACAACAGGATGAAACTCAAAAGGTAAAATTGTAATTTTTTTTTCATATTTCTTATACCATGCCCTTCCATTTTTAATGCATAAAGAACAATTGAGCTGTGAAGTTGCAACATTCTCAGGTTTAGGTTTTAAATTTTTTAAATAGTACAATATTTATTATATGCAACTTAAATAACAAAAAAACAGATGGTTCAATTCATGGAATGTGTTAATTGCCACCTATCAATATGCAAAGCACCATATATATCATAGAATTCACTGTTTTAGTTTTGAAGTCCCTTTCAAACAGTTGTTATGTATTAATTTCATCTAAATAAAATGTAATTTCCAGGTTGATATTGAAGAAGATCGTCGGTCAGACTTATTAGCATGGCTCTCAATACATTTGAAGCCTAGATATCATTTTGTCCCATCCACAAACAAATATTATGAGAGACAACCATATAGGTATGATTCATATTCATGTTTTTTTTTACGACAGGGGGCAAACGAGCATGCGGCTCACCTGATGGTAAAGTGACTATCGCCGCCCAGGTCACCCACAACACCAACGGCATTGCAGGTGTACTGCCGGCCTTTTAAAAAGGAATATGCTCTTTTCTTGAAGGTTATGTTGTCATATCAGTTCAGAAATACTGCTGCTGGAAGTTGATTCCAAAGAATGGTTGTGCGTGGGAGAAAGTGCCTTGAAAAACGCACGGTGGTGTTATTATTACATCAGTTATTAACTGTTCACTGCTGAATATACACCTTCTCCTATTGGAGGGTTTTGTCAGTAGTTGTTGTGCTTTGGCAACTGCAGTAAGGCTTTGGTGATAATTTTAAGAGAGATGCTGCTGTCCATCTCTTGACCATTAAGTTTCTTAGTCACCTCTTACAACATAATGGGAAAGGAAGATGTGGCCTATTCTATACTAGGATTGTACTGCAGTATTCTTGTTATAACTATAAAATGTATTAAACAAATAACTTGTTAATATCTTTGAGACACATAATTTTAGTTGAATAAAGAGATGATGTTACTCATTATTAATATTTTCATAGTCATATCAAATAATTAACATGTTTATTAAACCCTTGCAGCTTTATTAGTAAAAATGTAGTATTATAGTTTTGTATGAATTAGCTTTCTAGCTTTGAGATCTAGACCTAGTCTTAATATAGACCAAATATTTAGACTAGGTCTAGATCTGTCACAGTCCTATGTATCTTAGTCTGAGAATCTGAGTAAATGTTGTTCATAGATGATTTTTATTTTATTATTTCAGAAACCAGAGTATTCATCAAGACTATAGGGAATGTGCTACAAGATTTATAGCATTAGCTCCAGTAGGTAATAAAGTTAAGGAAAAGTGGATATATGCATGTTCTTTACAACCAATCTCAAAGATGCGCATGACTGATTTACTTCAAGCCACTACAGATGAAACTCCTTGTCCATATGACCCAGAACTTTTAAAACAACATCAACCTGGTAAAGTTGTTAAGGTACAAGTGCATTTTTACCATTTATTATATATAGTAATATGTAATAAATGAATAATTTGTAATTTTGTATATTTTAATTTAAATATTAATTGTGAGTTACTTTTATATTTCAATATTTCTAAAAAACAATATTTTTTAGTGTACTGGAAATGGACAATATTTTTTCAATATGGATGCAGCAGATGATGATCAGGGCAAAAGAAAAAGGAAAGGAGGTGACAATCCTGAGAGAAAGAAAAAAGATATTGATCCAGGTAATATTTTGTGAAGTATTAGCAAAAAAAAGTTGAGTTTAATTTTAATCAGTGATGTTGCTTGTGGAAAACTCGCCGATATTTTAATGAGCTGAATTTATAGAGTTAAACTCACATATTATATTATATTTTTCATCAATACAGGTGAAATGATTATATATACCTTAGATATATGTGTGAACTTAGAGTCCTTATATGTTAAAGTAACTTTGTTTCTTACCTCTTTGTGCCTTACCTATTCAACCAATCGTTATGAAATTTGCCATGCACATATTATTTGGGATGTAAAAGGACATTGTCTACTTTTTTCCTTGATCATTTAACATACCTCAGTAATGCAGACGGAATTGTGTGTAAAGACTAATATTTATTATATTTACAGATTCGTGTTGGTTCTGCCTCTCTTCACCTACTGTGGAGAAACATCTAGTTATAACTGTTGGTACTCATTGCTACTTAGCATTAGCAAAGGGTCCCCTGACGCCGCAGCATGTGTTAATTCTACCGATAGCTCATCATCAATCTGTTACACGGGTAAGATAGAACTTTTCATTCAATATTATAATATTAATTTTTTAGAGGACATTGCATTGCTTAAATATTATTGTTATATTACATTTTGATTATGATTGGCAACAAAATTCAAAGATTATGGATAAAGCAATTTATAATGGTCCAAAGTTAAGGATGGTTATTATTCAATGTTATGTGTAGTTTATTACACAAACTATTAGTGTGATTATAAGTATTTTATTATGTTTTTAATGTTGACTTGAAATTACTTCAACATAACAAACACTAAGTACTCCCGACTGTCCTTACTGGGATTGTATTATAATTATGAGCATGTAGGTCTACTACCAGAAACACACTTAAATTTACCTGTGCGAATTAGATGAAAAATATATATATAATATGTGTTTTATATCTAGGATGTAATTCCTTTTTTTACAGTAACAAAAGTTTAACCATTCAAGCTTTTATAATTTCACTTTATTTATAGAATTATATTATATTTATAGTGTGAAATTTCAGGCGCCAGACGAAGTGGTAAATGAAATAAAAAAATTCAAATGTGCTCTAAGGAAATTCTTCGCGTCAATAGATATGGCGGTAGTGTTCTTTGAGAGGAATTTTCATACTACACATATGCAAATACAGTGTGTACCTGTGTCGAGAGCATGCTCTTCCCAAGTACTTGAAGTATTTCAGGTATAATTGTTTTATTAACTTTTAGACTTTCGCCCTGTATGTTTTATGGTTGATAAGAGACAGAAATTGTCGCGTTCATTTAGATATATTATAATAATTTACCAGAGGGAAACTTTGAACAAAAGTCGATTGCTTGGGTACCTCTGTCCCATTCGTGTTTCAACCGTGAAGTAGTTGTGTTTGCATGGCTGTGATATGATCGGTTTGAAGGGTGGGATATGGCGTGAATTTACTGGGTACGGAGGAATAACACTTGAGTCCTCAGTAATGGCAACGCATGGGGGGCGTCATGGGCGAAACAGTATACCCTGTTATGTCCATGGTACTGCTCGTGTCTATAGGCGACGATTATTCATTCATTAGGCCGATCTTAGTTGTATAAAAAAATAATAATAATTTATCTGAATTATTTCGACGATTACAATGTTATATTAAAAAAAATATGTATTTATTATAGGATGAAGCGGGTATAAACAGTATTCAAATGGAAGTGTTACCACCGTACACAGAGATAGAACAAGTGATGTTGCCTGGCGCGCCGTACTTTCACGCCGAGCTGCCCTCTGGTGAACAAGTGTATGCCAAGACCAAACAACACTTTCCATTACAGTTTGGAAGGTAAGTTAGTTGTAAGTTTAGGCAATATAATCACTTACTGCAACCACAACGTTTGTGTATAGAGCTTTGGGGTATTCAGTACTGGAAATATATAATGTAAACAGCATCTGTGGTATGTGTATATACTGGCGGAGTACCAGTAAGTGATGATAGATGAGAATGAAGGTAGGACAGTTGACCTACTGTTACAAATTCACTAGACATTGACTTTGGTTTCTAGAGGGGACCGTGTAGAGATCGATCTAATAGGGATATTGCTAGCAATGAGGACTTACCTCACTATTATTGCCAATTCCTCTGATTTTGAGTAAAATTATTATACCACGGATTTATATTTTTAGGGATGTGTTATCGAGCCCTCCGATTTTAAATTGTGAAGACAAAGCAGACTGGCGGCAATGTCAGATCAGCCGGGAGGAGGAGGTCTCGTATGTCGCCAACTTCAGAGAACAGTTCCGCGCTTTCGACTTCACCGCCGATGAAGACAGCGATAGCGATTAAGGTTTTAATATGATTGACTTGATGATTATCTTTGCGTCTAGTTGTATATGTATGTAGCTTATGTTTGTTTACAATAATAATGAAATATTTTTTCTATTTATTTATCTAAAAGGATAATGACAGGATATAGAACAAAGTTTACAATACTTTAAAATTACTTTTCCTAGTCAAAACTATATAAAACCGCGTACATTATAATTGAGTTAGCCGCTAGGACACGGGTGGTCCTATAAACCCAAGCGGTCAAAAGGTTAAAATAAGGTAGGGATAGTGGAAAATAATCAGTTCAAGTAAATGATTTTTTTTATTTTCTTTCACATCATACTGTCCTAATAACTCATTTGTTTGCATTATAAAAACATATCTGTAACAACATGATTAACTAACTTTTACATTATTCACGTGTAGTTATGTATATAAAAAACAAAATTCTCAAAAATGATATGGTATATTGACTAATGTCAACCGACTAGAATTAAAATGATAAATATTTTAATTCGTAACCATTAAAAAACATTGCGTGTTGACGTAAATTGAAATTACAGTTATTTCAAGAAAATAATTATGCAATTTCGTAACGACTACTTAAACTACTTAATGATCTTCGATTGACTAGCATAGGTATTTGGGTCTAGTATTTTATATAAAATAGATCTCAATTAAATATAGGGCAGTCTTCGTTGGAATTACTAAAGAGAGTCAACGTAAACAATTGTAAAACATTAAAAATACCACACAATTCACTTAAATGTGTTATTAAATATAAAACGTTGTGTTAGAGGACTGTACATATTGCGACGGGCCGAGAACGAGAGGGCGCTATGAGTGTAATGTAAAATAATCTTTAATACTTGATATTAAAAACTAAAGCATAATGATGCATTATAGGTAAAAAAAGAATATTTATATGTTAATATTCAGGTTGTAATAAGCTATACGTGTAATTAGAAACAATTAACATTTTAACAAATAAAATATTTTGCCTATTAAATTATTGTGCTCGTTTCCTACAAGGTACAAATACATGAATAATAAAGTTTGTCACTGTTTCTCATTTGTCGTTCAAATATTCTATTTTTTTTATCACTTCCGACACCTTTGTACAATACCTTCCTCTCCTCCCATAGTAATATATAAAGTCCTCAAGTGTTCAACACTCGTAAACTATACTACAACATATTCGTTACAGTTCAAATGTACAATACAAATTTAACTTTCTGCCATATTCACCAAAAAACTATAGGTAAGTGTATTGTCTCGTGTTGCCGTTTACTGAGGAATGCGTATTACTAATATTTGTTATATCGATTATGTGAGTCACGTAAAGCATTAATTGATTCTTATTTGTATAAACCATATACCGCGGTATACCGTCCAGTCGTATTAATGAACGTTGTTTAAAAATATATTGCTGTGTAAACGCTATGGAGAAATGTCTACCTTCATAGAAAATAGTAAAGAATGTTTGTATCTTTAAAATCAAGTTACACTGAAATGGCGATAACTAGTAATGTTGCGTCGCATGCTCCTCTCATATCGAGAAAAAAAACTTTTCAAACTGTCCCCATTTACTTCCCGATAGCTGTCATTTAAGTTTGTCTCAGCACTAAGGTGTAGGTACTCAGGCAGCATTTTTAATTCTTAGATTTCAGATAATACTTTCTCGTGTATATTTATCGTAATTGGAATACAAAATTCCTTAAGATTACTATAGATACTTGATTAAAAATCGGATAAAACAGTGTCACTGTTGGCACTTACAAACGTTATATAACTAGCATTTATAAATTATGTACTTGAAATGTTTAATTTTACACCATTCAAATCTTACGGTTATAGACAATGATAAGATTTTTATTCAATGAAAACAATTAGTTTTCATAAACTTTACAACAATCAAACAATTCGTAATTAAATATTGGATATAATTTCTTTCCAATTACATCCGTAACTAGTTTTAAGACTTTGGTCAATAAGGCATTAAGTTTAAAATATATTTTTATATTTTAATTATTGTTCTTCTTAATTTTACATTCGATAGTCGTAAGAATACGTTTTAATTACAATGTTATTTACATAACGAGGGAGTTGCTACAATATACCGAAACCAAATAATAACTGTATCTATTGAAAAATTATAAACTAATTAATTTTTCATAACATTGATTAGTAAATCCGTTGACGATTTTTCTGATGGTAATTGGTAATCGTCGCCTATAGACATGACATTATTGTGATACCTACAGTACTTCTTATATCTGAAGACTGTAGTGTTATTCATCTGTATTCAGTAATTATACTGCCACATCTCACTCTTCAAAATAAAAGATAGTTATGTAAATTTAGTTTTCATGACGACAGAGATTTGAGTGAGATATAAAATTAAAAAAGAAATGTACTTTATAAAATTATATCTATTAACCAGAGATAAATCAGTTGTGAAAAATTTTACTTGTGTAATTATGATGTGTCGGTAAATCGTAGCAGACCCACAGTAGAATACTAGTGGAACCATACACTAATCCAGAGCTCACCCTTCGTACACGTTTAATAAAATACTCGATTTTGGAGTAGAAAAATGATTATTGTATGGCACTAAAGAGTAATAATTATTATTATTTTGGCTATATCTATCTATCTACAGTCTATATGTACATGTTACGTAATAGTACAGAAGTTATATATTACGGATTTGAATTTGGCAACAGTTATAGAATCTATTTCGTTCAAGCGCTTTAAACTGCTTACTTCGATAAATATTTGATATCGATCACTTATAATACACTCGTTAACGACAATTCGTTTAAAGAAGTCACATAAAGAAAACTTCATTCTTTACACACGCGATATTTTTACAGATTCAGGTATAACAAGTAGGTAAGTACCAAGTACTTACATATTCTACCTACCAATTCTAGCATAAAATTTACCACAGTAACAAAATTTGTTATATTTCAAACTTATCGTATGTTACTGTTAAATAGAATCTGACAGAATATTTCTAGTTTTCAATGAACATGTTTTTTCATGGTAAAATTCGGGTAAAATGCGATAATATACCTGAAAAACGACATATTATTAAAAAGTATATTTTTAGGTTTTGGTTATGCCTAAAAAGTTGTCATTTGACATATAGAGGATTAGTCTTTTAGATTCTGCTGTAATCATTGTTATCTTGATCAATTATCTTCATTTGGTCCTTCCACAACCGGATCTCGTGTCTCACCTCTAGTTTAATATAGAGAAACGCACTTGCGTTTACTTTGCGTCTCAGACGTTGATCTGAAAGGCTTCTCTGGTCATTTTGGCTTCTGGTGCGTGTGGTGGGTGCGACGGGTGCGGATGAGGGGCACGCTTACGGCGATGATGCCCCTCGCACTCCGTATCGTCGGAAAAGCGAGATGGTGGATGTATGTGTTCGTTGAACGATGGGTAATTAGATATACTGGAAATTATTAACAAAATTTTTTTATTTATACTTTAAAAGTTATTGTAAAATAGGAAGATGGTAAGAAATTGAGAGAAAGAAAGAAAGAGAGAGAGACAGAGTGAGCTGGAGGGAATGAAAATGTATACCTGAAGGTGGTCTCGTCGTTGTGGCTGCTGTAGCCGCTGGAGGAGCGTACGTGTCGCTTGCCGAGCGCGGCGGCCTTGCCCTTCCGTGAAGGGAACGCCTTCCGCACCAGCGCCCCGCCCACCGACGTTTCTGACGATGACGACGACTCCTCGCGTTCCACCGACGGGTCTGAAATGTTAGCAAATTATCATATATCAGTTACATCACGATACAGGTATATGTAAGAATCAAAAATCACATTCGGCTATGTTTCTTAAGAAAATAGTTCAGGTTCAAGTATGCTATCGTTGGATATCGGGTTGGAAATATTCAAGAAATTAAAATAATTTATTCATATAGGACTTTTTTTTGTCACTTATACACGTATTTTTTTTAACGATACATTCTAACTTGCAGCCGATTCTTCTTTTTGAGCTTAGAAAAACTGGAAGGAATTGGATTGTTATTGTTTGTTTTGTATAAATAAGTGGAACCTTGTGTGAAATCGTGTTTCTAGACTCGGCAATTTCAATCTGTTTCAAGAGTATAGTTAGATCGACCGAGGATCAAATGAAAGCTTTTAAATGTAAGACAAGAAATTGCAGCGTTGCCATTTGAATATTTACTAGGTCGAATGTGATGAACAAAAAAAAAAGTGTCCAACATATCTTGAAGGACAAGCAAAGTGAAGCGGCAATGGGCTTATAGGCTACTCATACATACATACATCATAATATAATTATTATATAATATAATTATAGTAAATACAAACATACATACATAACTGTAAGAACCGACAACTGATGGTGAAGAAAGGTTTTTGAGTGGCGACCCCGTACGGGCAAATCTAGTGTAGGACGACCTTCATTAGATTGAGTGACAACCTCAAATACGTTGCAGGAACTCAGTGGATATAAGTGACCTAGGATCGTTCCTGATGGAAGTTTAAGGGGAAGGTCTATGTCCAGCAGTGAACAGATAATGGCCGATATGAATGAATGAAAGTGATGAACAGTAGAAGTGGCAGTATCAACTCACAGGTGGTGGGGTGCGCGGGCCGCAGCCTAGCGGCGGGCTCGCTGTCCGAGTGCGGCGCGCTCGCGTCGTCGCTCGCGTCGTCCTCGTACTCTGTAATGGGCAGGTGCAGCGTTAGTATCTTCTTCACCTCCGAGTCCGTCGAGCCCAAGTTGTCCGACTCTGTAACACAACCGCCACGTCATACGTACGCCCGATACTGGGTCGGTTTAGGTGAAGCTGCGTTTATGTCATGGAAGCAATACTGGTTTTTGTTTAGTGTGCAAATTTTATACCGTAAGAATTACCAAAGTGTATAATTTGTTTGTTGTCATACGTGCTCCGATAAACTATTATCTTAATATGCCCTGAATGTAACTACAGTACATATAAATACTATAACTCCCGTCCTCTTTTGTGTTAAATATGATTTTTTGAAAAAGGAACGTATCGCGTTTTATTTTTACACAAAAAATTGCGCGTCATGTTTTTATGTAGTAGTAATGTCGTTTTTGTATGAAATATCCGAGATGTGATACCATACAGATTTACATTAGATTCTGTGTTAGCGTATCATCATCATCAAAATATTAATTGTTTATTACTGATTATACATGCTTTGTTATATATATTTTACAACAAATTACGATCCTGGCTACTTGTTTTCAACAAATCTCTATAATATTTCTAGTTGTAGCAGTGTATCCTAGTGTAGTTGGAATTACATTAATATTTAAATATACTTTTATATTATAATAATATCTTTGTGACGACATTTCACAAATTGTATTTAACAATATCAGAAAAGTCTACTAAAAATAAGGGAAAATGTGACAGAAACTTTGTGTAAATTATGTTACGTTTTTTGTTTCTATGACATAATAATCTTATCGCAGCGAAAAGCATGTAATGTGTGTTAAATGTTTATGAAGTGTTAGCATGCTCGTGATACGATATAAAGCGTATAGATAGTTACATAATAGAATTACAGGGTCTAATATTGCGATGGATGCCTTTTAAAAGCTTTAGTTGTTCTTGTTTGTTGAAGCATGACATTACTAACATAACACAGAATAAACAAAAAAGATTTTACGATCATGGAGATGAATTAAATAGAGCATTCATAGTATATTATATAATGTTTGTGTTTTCATGTGATTGACTCAACGAGTGAATAATTTGGAAATGTATGCTCAATTAATTCATCTCAGTTGTTACGTTACATACATGTGCATGCTTACCTTTATAAATTACAGACCATTTACGCTCCCATCAGGTTGCATAAAAGGCGATTTTTATGTCAAATTCGAATATTAATACTTAAAGTAAATGGGTAAATACTTAAAATAAACTCGATAGAAGGTGCGTACTACGTAAAACAAAAATGTAGCTAACTACTTCTCGACAAGCTCTGTAGGTATATAGATTATGTTATATATTGTATAGTAAACCGTACCTTGACTTTCTGAATGTGGATCGCGGAATCTGTTCCCTTTTCTTCTTACTTTTGTGTATTCTGGTTCCTTGCCCTATGAAAAAAATACTCTATGAACTTAAGTATGTATACGAAAGTAAAGACTGATAAGAGGTAGCTAAGTGATTATCCGATATCTATATATTGCGGTTTTCAGGGCATTGATGGCGGGAAAAAAAACTATCCATATTTCGACATCGTTCACACCGGATCAATATGCATTTCGATCGTATTTTTCATTTCGACATAAAATAATGGATAACAGACATTTAACATATTCGTTATTGGGCTAGTATATAGATATTGTAACTAAAACATAGATCTTGATGCTAATTACGCACTCCGTGGGGAAAGGGATTGTTAGTAATGGAGACTGAGAATACCATTGCTAGCAATATACCCAACCAGATCGACCTCCTCGCGGTTCTCCCTGGAAACTGTCATGGTTAATTTCTGATGAATTCATCATGATGGGTTAACTGGCCTGTTTTCATTCTCATCTATCACCCTTCACTGGTGCACCGCCAGCGTATCCCGTTAGCGCAGGCGAGGTTACCATACCATTATCACCAATAAAAAAAATTACGCAATCGTAATTTATAAGTATATCCCTTTGCCAATACAATAGATCGATTTACATATCTCAGTATATATTTATAGGTACAGAGATTTGTAGGAATCGTGTAATCATAAATTAATAATTACGATGATTATTAGAACTTGCAAACCGTTTGATAGTCTATCTGATGGAAAATATCCGTGGGGTATAGTTATGAAAATTATACTGTACATGGAGGTCTTTATCGGCTGATCCTATGAACAAAGTCGGGTATAATGTACTTAAGAGTGTTCATAACGAAGCTTAGCAACGTTGTCAATTTTCAAAAACAATTGAATATTTTTCAATGCTTCTAATTGATTATTTAAAAAGTGTTTTGCTAGCGAACTAAAATGTTAATCATACAATAAATAATATTGTTATTAAATTGTCTATGTTATTTCATAAAATATTATGAAAAATTCCAAAGTAAAATACGATGTAAATACAAAATTTTTAGTGATAGATTTATATGTATATATTATTATATGATTAATGTTTTAGTTCGCTAGCAGAGTACTTCTTAAATATTTATTGAATATCAATCAGAAACATTAATAAAAATTAATTGTTTTTGAAAATTGACACATAATTGTGATGTACACACTTGTGTGCCACACTTTGGTAAGCAAAAGTTATGAACGCTTTTAACATTACTACATTAGTTTCAACTCACTAACCTTATATTTATCATTTTGTTTCAGGTCGTGGTACACGAAAGAACCCCTCACTGAGTGATAAGGGCCGCTGTACACGTTGCCACTGTAACTGCTCTCGCTATATGCAGTCGGTTTGGTCAGTTGGAATGTCGCATACGGGCAGATGTCTTCTATGTACTCTGTGAAAAATGATAAAATTTTAAAATCATTGTGGAAAATAATAATATAGTTTTAACCGAAGATTTTGTTGATGTTTTATTATCACTATTATATCTTATATTAGTTGCATAATGTTATCATCAATAACATAAACAAGGGTTTTCATTTTTTAACGTTATTAGTTATACTGACTTTTTTAATAAATCCCAAGACCATAATAATAACACTTTCATATAAGTTCTATGTAGGGTAGTAATGTCATCACAGGAAGGCTTAATTACATTTCGCAGCTCGAAGTTTGACGATTTCTGTACTCTTTAGGCAGCCTTTTAATTTTATATTTCAACGTTTATATAAATAAGTGCTAAAACATGAACAAAAGAATAACAATGGTAGTAAGTATTCTCTCATCATGTTAATAAATTTTTAACTTGTATTTAAGTACTGTATTTTTTTTACGTGTGGAAATTCGTCACGGAGACTCAATTTTCTCGAAGGAGAAGAGTGGATAATGCTAAATCCTTACCGTCTAGAACTTCAGTTTTTCACCACTTTGGCTCGTTTAATTGACCAGTTTTCATGTAGAGTAATTATGACCTGAGAATTTTGTACTGTCAAAATGTACATCATCTGGCTCTCAACCTACAATAAGCCCTAGCTGAAAGTTATGTGTATTATGTCTACGTATCGAGTGGTGTACGAAGACCCTTACCGTTGGAGGCGTGTTTGTAGTGATGCTGCGGCGCGGGGTGCTGCGCCCTAGCGGCGAGGTACTGTTGGTCGCGATTGACCTTGTTCTGCAGCTGAGCGACCGATGGCGACTCGCCCACGCCGCTCTCCGTCGCCACGGTCTCTGTGCCACCAGCTTCTGAAACACCAGTAAACGGAGTATTCACGATATTTTACTTATACTACTATTATATTGTGCTTATACATATACAAAGCAGGTTACAATATGATACGGGAGATTGTTTTTGACAATGGATGTTAACGCGTGTTACCCAGATTCAATGGCGTAATATTTTATAGCTTCGAATATTTTTATCACGAGCGTATTTTCGTGTTGCAGTGCACATATTAACTAGGGGATTTTAACTGACTTAAAAAAGGAGGTTCTCAATTCGGTTGCATTTTTTTATGTTTGTTGCCTTAGTTCTAAACCGATTTGGAACATTTTTTTAGCTGAAAGTATATATTTACAGAAAGGTCCCATAAAATTTTTATCAAAATCAGTTCAGTAGTTTTTAGATCAAAATAACTGGTTTTTGTTACCAGTAAAGTTTGTCACAAAAAACTTTTTTTGATCTATATTGCAGTTGAAACTTTCACTTACAAAATTTATTCGACTAATGATTTTTTACGCTTAAAGAATTCGGTTTGAGTAATAAAATCGAATACAAGAAAACAATGCTATTGAATGGACAGAAGATCACAAAGGTAGATGGTATAAGCGAAGTAATAGCAGTAACAGCGTACTGACGGCAGTACGACAGCGGCACGTGTATGTACTACGTAGGGAGTGAACTCACTGTTCCTGCGCACGAGCAGCACGATGGCCACGAGAGCGCCGAGCACCAGCAGCGACAGCGCGGCCGGCAGCAGCACGCGTGCACCGCCCAAAGATCGAGCACCCGCTGCAGGCACCGGCGGAGACAATTCGCCATCCAACACTGTTGATGTCTTTTTATTAGTATTTTTTTTTAGTTTTCTTTATTAAGTAATTCGCGATTGAAGGTGTGCCTTCCTTCCTGATTTCTACTTCACCTGATCCCCACAATTATTCGATGGCCTGTATAATTAGAAAACTGAGGGATAACAGTTATACTCGCTTTTTTTTTTACTACAGAAGTTACCTCACAGTTATAAGAGTAAAGTCGAGGTAATTTAAAAGTGTGGAAGAATTTTTTTACTATTATTTTTCATTATTATGTGCCTATTTTAATATATACCGTGATGCAGTTGTGTTTGCATGGCTGTGTTTCGGTTTGAAGGGGTGATATGGTAGTGAATTTACAGGGTACAAAGGAGGTATCTTAGTCCTCAGGAATGGTAACGCATCATAGATATCATGGGCGAAACAGTATAGTCTATAGGAGACGGTTACTACTTTCCATTTGTTTGCCATTCTAAGTTGCATAAAAAATAAATTTAAAAAAATTAAGAAAAAATATGACTGAGAGGTGTACGTAATTAAGAATAGTAGCTAGCAGTTTAGAATGTATATTCTAAAAACATTAAGCAAAGTGATAAAAAAACTAACAGCCAGAGATCGAGTGCGTTGTGAAGTTGTAGAGAGCGACAGCGTGGCCGGCGTTGTTGTGCGCCGTGATGCGTAGCTGGTACTGCGTGGCGGGTGTCAACCCTGCCACGCTGAACACCCGCTCCGTCGCTTGCACGCTGTTTGACACTAGGCGCCACTGGGACAAGTATGACCATTTTCATTTCAAGTAGCTTATTTGTAGGATCTGGTAAAGATGCTAGATGTTATGAGCTCAAGAGGCTTAGCAGCTTTGTCTCTATCTTAGATGAAGCAAATTAATATGTTCTTGACTTAAGAACTCCACTTGATTGTGTAAGTTTATGACAAAGTATAAACCCTGTCTCTATAGTAAGCTATCATCACCGTGAACTGTCCACTGCTGAGACCGAGCACAGGCCTCCCTCATACACTGTCCTGGTATTTACCATGGATGCTAGTAGTTGCCGCCATATTTGGCACGCGACCTTGGGTTGGCGACGGTAGTTTGGTTTAATGATGTTTTAAGAGTTTTTATTAGGATTAATAGGTAAGGTTTACAATTTTTAACTTTAACAAAATATTTATTATCAATCCTATAAAATTGTTCTGAGAAATCTAACTAATCGGTTCAATGTAAAGTTACATAAAATGAAAATTGTTTGAAATTATGTACTTACTTGGGACTGGCTAATCTCTCTGTACTCTATAACAAAATATAGTATGCCGCATCCGCCGTCACCCCATGAATCCAACCAGACTGTTACCGTTGTCGTGTTGAGAGTTATCATTTGGGAATGTTTTGGTTTTACTGGCACTGAAAATTAACAATAAACATTTATGCCTCTGAGATATAATCTCTGTCCAGAATATCTTTATTCTTTATTATACACAAAAGGTTATTGAAATGTAAAAACAAACATAATAGTGCACAAAGGCGAGCTTATCTCCAATAGAGATTTCTTCCAGCAAACCCAATATGAGAAAACCGACAGTTCATTAGTAGTTACAGTCACACATGTGTACCAATCGACTTAAATGTTATAATAAAAATAAATAAATAAAATGTCTTTACATTATTACGAATATCGGCCGATGACAGACATTAATAATGATATGCATTTGTATTTCTCAATAGATAGGTTAGCAGATTCTATTCGCAATAAACATAGTATAAAGTACCTACTTAAAATATTCGCACTAATCATATTATTTAATCATCAATTGGCATTTGTTATGTGCTTTGACTATGCGAGTAATAAATTGTCACCTTATAAAATTGTTGAACAATAAAACAGGACTAGGGGCTTATTCTATGAAATTATATTATTGCAACTGATGAATTCTATTGTTCGGATCTATCTTCACAGAAGTTAGCAGATAGCAAAGCAGATTAGTAAAATGAAGAGTGTATAAGTTGCAAAATACCTAGTTTTGTGCAATTAGACCAAGATTTAGTTTTGCATTTCCTATCTATTGATCTGTAGTACAGTCTAGAAAATACCATATTTGTGTTAATGTTTTGTAGCAATGTTAATGTAAAGACTTACCCGTTCCTTTAGTGTACGCGTGTACAATGTCACATGGCAGCCCTGTTCCTATTCGATTGAAGGCCGTAATGTACAGCTGGTACCGAGTGCCGCACCATAAGTTTGGAAGCACATGTTCTGAGGTCCCCGCTTCCACTTGGAGCTCCTCCCAATCGCCGTGTTCGCGTTTGTAGTTGATCACGTAACCTAGTCATGATATGGGAAATTTGGGGAATTTAAGTAAGTGACTAAGTTATTAAATCTAAATTAGTCGAAGTAAATATACCAGAGGGAGACTTTGTACAAAAGTCGATTGCTTGGGTACCTCTGTCTCATTCGTGTTTCAACCGTGAAGCAGTTGTGTTTGCATGGCTGTGTTTCGGTTTGAAGGGTGGGATATGGCGTGAATTTACTGGGTACAGAGGAATAACACCTGAGTCCTCAGGAATGGCAACGCATGGGGGGTATCATGGGCGAAACAGTATATTCTGTTATGTCCATGGTACTACTTATGTTTATAGGCGACGGTTACCACTTTCCATCAGGTGGGCCGTCAGCTTGTTTGCCATTCTAAGTTGTATAAAAAAAAAAAATACTGCACATATTTAAACCGCTGTGTAGGTTATAGCCACAGTTATTATACTGTATTTTTTTTTGATGGGTAAAAATGGTATGGTAACCCCGTCTGCGCTAATGGGATACGTTGACGGAGCACCAGTGAAGAGTGATAAATGAGAATCAAAACCGGCCAGTTAGCCCATCATGATGAATTCATCAAGAATGAACCATGATAGTTTCTAGGGAGAACCGCGAGGAGGTCGACCTGGTTGGGTATATTGCTAGCAATGGTATTCTTAGTCTCCATTACTAACAATCCCTTTTCCCCCTATTATTCTGTATTATAACTAAGTTTCTTCACAAAACAAGGATATTTCCAGTATTTTATTTACGAGTATGAAGAACATTTTTAGTAATTTTGGTAAAGATTTTGAGATCGTTATGGCCTAGTAATATACCACTCCACTTATAGGAGTATATTCTAGACCTCAATGTTTATGAATTCGAATCTGGTCAACTTCAAAGTTTTGTTTCAATTTAAACTTTTATATTTAACCTATCCTGCTATTTTGGATACAAATATTCGTATCAAAATGTGGTAATAAACGTTGTGGCCAACATAGTCAATGTTCACCATACCGGTTATATTCCACAAGTCTCTGAGTACCTAATCGAGGAGTAATCTTAATGAATGTAATAGTCATGAGCATATTTATTTATTTTTGTATGGAACATGGCTGTTTATAGCTTTTAGATCATAACCATAATGTACCCTTAACTTTACCTAGGATAGGGCTGCCACCGTCACCCTGGTCGCTCCACTGTAAATGCAGAGAATCCGCGTACGAGTCAACCACCGCCAGTACAGGCGGCTGCGGAGGCACCTTCACTTCCACGCTATACGTAACTTCGTCGCGACCGTGCGGATTCTCTACAGCACATGTGTAGTTGCCGCTGTCAGCATACTGGGTCATACTGTCGGGATTTGTAAGGTATATAAATTCATTTAACATCTTATTATTTTAAGTGTGGTACTATACTGTATGATGGAGTAAGATTATATTATCAAGTGAGACTATGTTATTACTTCTTTTAACACCTAGAATGTCGTAAAGGGCTGGCTAAGAGAGCAAAGCACTATACACCAATCCAGAAGAAGGAAAACTTGATTAAAACCTGAACCACATTGATCCAGTAACACTGTTAATGAGAAGGATACAATTATAAAAAGAAATACTATTTGCTCCAGTTTCTCAATTTATTTTTGTACTGTCAAGTAAACATTTAAGTACCGTACCTGTATTATTTTTTCTAAAATGATAAGTATTTGGTATATCCACTATTTTTTTTTTACAGTATGAATGAATGTTTACCTAATGATCAGCGTTCCGTCGTTGGTGACATTTTTCCTCAACGTGGACTCGAGTGTGGCGCCGTTCATACTCCACGTGGTAGTGGGAGTGGGCACGCCAACTTTGTTGCAGGATAGGGAGATATTCTCCTTCCACGGCGTCACTATGCTACGGCTGAATGACGTTATGCGGGCTGGCACTGAAAATTAATTTTTACAGCATTCGTCAGTAAATTGTATTAATGTCCTTGGAATATGTAAAAATATAATAATTATTATCAGAGATCAATCAAGCAATAACTTAACGACTGATTTATTCTTTTGTAAATTAAAACTTTGTACTTTTACAATATTAGTAATCTGTTTATCTACATACTGTCAAGTTTGTAGTTTTTTATTTCTCAATTGATAAATAAATAAAGTGCAAACATACAAATAAAATGGGGAATTAGAATATACTTAGAATCTAAATAGTGGGATGGAATTTCTTGCCGCAAATCCAATAATTGATGAATGAGCTACCTTTTGTTATTATTATTTCGGCTGTTAATTGTCTATTGTTAAACATAAGCCTTTCCCATAAGGCGAGTTTTGCCAGTAGTTGCCATGCTTGGCAGGCAAGTTGGCAATCGCAGTTAGGCTCTTAGAGATGTTTTAAAACAGTAGAGATGTTTAAGTCTCGCCCTCCCTTAGTCGACTCTTACGACACCCAAAAGAAATAAGTTCCTTGCTGAGGTTTTTTCTAGAGACTACAGTATAGAGTTCTAAAAGGGCATATAAAGGTTTTTTTTATCAGGGTCAGTTGTGAGCACTAATATACCTATAGTAAAACGCTTAGGCGTTTGATTTTTAAAGAAATGCTTCATAATTAGTGTGTAATGTAATATGTATATAACGTACCAGATTCTGATGGTAATACAGTGACTACGCGCGTAGTTTCACCCTCGCCGAGGCGCGTGGAGGCAGACACCCAGAACTGGTGGGTGGCTTGTGGCGGTGATCTCGCGGTTTCGTGCGATAATGTGCTCGGGGAAAGCATCCGTTTGTGTGTACCTTCCTAGATATTATGTTTAGTATATTATAAATAGATAAGTAAAAAAAAAAATAGAAATTATCAAATTGACACGTTTTTCTAAAATTGTCAGCTTCACAAATAAATCTAGATAAATGTGCAAAAGAATGTATCTTTAGAAATGTGGTATAGATCGCATGAGAAAGAATATCAAGATGACGGACGACGTTATCTCGTTTTATTTCATGCGTGAGGTAGCGGAAACGTGCCTATCGATGGATTTTTTGTCTTTGTCTAGAAGACAGGCTCTTTATATATGATATTTTCTGTTTGTGATTAAGATTAAATGGTTTTACAGTCTCATATTTTGCACATTTCTTGTTACATTTACTTTCATTTCGTTACATGCTTGCACGTTCATCGTCACATTAATTTCCTTTACTTTAGTTACTTTTTATTTTACATTGTTTTTCCATTTACAGTTACAAAATATCTCAATCTTTCTTTCAGTTGTGTTATAATAACGTACCTCTCTTCCATCTTCTATGACGCTCATGTAGAGCGTGTATCCAACTAGTACGCCATTGGGTGACGACGGTGGTAGCCATGACACCAGTATTTTGTTGCGAGAGGATACTACCGCTTTAATGTCAGCTGGCGCGGATGGAACTGTAACAATTCCAGAGGAAATTATATTTTTTTACTTATTACTATGTCGCATAGAAGATGTAGTTCTACTCTGCTAATGTAAACGTGGGCTCAAAATTGGATCTGCCAATCATAGCAAATTTTTGCTATTAAAGTAATTTTGGACTATAAATGATAGTAGAGAGTAACGTCTATGAATTTATATAATTAAAAAATATTAATGTCTTTTTTATATTACGGGTAATTTTAGTAAAGAAGCCGGTAGTCCACCTAATGGAGAATAGATATGCGTAATATTTTTGAATAAATTAATTTAATATCTTAAGAATGTAATGTGAGAAAAAATCAGCATGTTTGCTTTTGACTCTATGTTCCTTAGTTTGGTCCCTCGAAACTAAGGAATCTATGTTCCTTTTATATGTCAAAAGCCTAGAGAAAAAGAGGGGGGAGGGGGCGGATGGAATTATACTTAATTTTTCACTTTAGGCTAATTGATCTAACTTTAAGATCTACTGATGCCATTGTAAAGGTGCCATTAGTATAGGTAAGTAAGTAGGTATATGAGCAATATTAATATCTAACCATCTTCCTCGGTGTGACAATAGACAGGGGCGGCGCGCACGCCGTCTCCAGCTGACGTGAACGCACACACCGTTACTGAATAGTTGGTGTACCGGCGCAGCCCTGACAGGGTGGTGTGCAGACCTGATATCTGCTTCGTTACTGCTTCTTCATTACCTAAAATGTAAGTATATATCACACTAATTACTACTAATAATAAGTGCTATACAATCATAGGAATCGCTTGGTCCTCTAACTCAGATACTATAATAATATAGCCTTTATTCAGATCAACTTAGTACTGCCATTAAAACAAACTTTAAATTTAAAAAACTTAAAGGAAGAAAGTCTAAAGGTTAGGTACATACTTGAGAGTTCAATGGTCATGACAAATATGAGATGGGGATGTAATATTATATGTTATCATATCTTTGAAAACTAAGAGAATATAAGTAAAGAGGGTTTGGTTCTTCGCGCGCCGATTTTCCATCAATGTAAGATTGGCGCTCATTTTCATAAGTGACGTATCACACTCGGCGGATGATTCATGTCATCAGCTCGCGTTGATAGGTATTCATGCAGTTGAAGATCGACCATTGAAGATATGTTGAATGTATGAAGCTACAGGAAGCGGTCACCGAACTTAGATCGCCAAAAATACTTATATACAAGTACGGATTTCGTCGAAATCATAACTGATCTTCCGCGTAGTGCGATCAAGAATAATAATATACAATTTGTATTGGCGTTCCGTCGCGGAAGATCGGCGACCGAAGATCGTCTTAATACGGCACTAGGTTAAGTGTTATGGGGAGTGATATTGGGTACCTCTGTCCCATTCGTGTTTCAACCGTGAAGCAGCTGTGTTTGCATGGCTGTGTTTCGGTTTGAAGGGTGGGATATGGCATGAATTTACTGGGTACAGAGGAATAACACCTGAGTCCTCAGGAATGGCAACGCATGGGAGGTAACGGGCGAAACAGTATACTCTGTTATGTCCATGGTACTACTCATGTCTATAGATGACGGTTACCACTTTCCATCAGATGAGCCGTCAGCTTGTTTGCCATTCTAAGTTGTATACAAAAAAATGATGTGCGGGTATGGGTACTTACCGTACCAGTCGGTGACGGGCGCGTACGTGAGCCGGTAGCCCTGCACGAGGCCGTTGCGGGCGCGGGCCGGCGGCGGCTCCCACGACGCGCGTACCGACTGTGAGCTCAGAGCCGTGCACTGCAGCGCGCCCGGCGGCAGGCTCGGTACTGCACGGTATACCGTCATATGTTGCCGTACATTGTTTGTACTTCTTAGATTAACAATGTTTTGTAGACTATAATAGCAGGACATGACCACTCTCAATTAAGAAGCTTAACAAATGTGAGGAAATGTCACAGTACATATTATTGCAGGCCATTCTTTTCATAGCGCAGTATGTTGTCTTCTTTGGCAAATATACTCTTTATTCTAAGGAGATAAGAACATCGTGATCAAGAACATTAAAAAATTCCTGTTGGTCCAGTGAATTCTGGATGGAACAGTAATACAATGTGTTACAGGTCTAAACAGACTGCAATATGCCGAACTTCAAATTTTCTCTAAAATTTTTTCACGTATCACAACGTGTATAAGACTTGGCGTGAACGTTCAATAAGTGTTTTAAATGTATTTATTTCTTTAGTGAATTAAGTAATGTACCGTCTTCCATAGTAGTAGCGGTAGTGGGCGGCGAAGCAGGCCCGGCGCCTCTGCTGTTATATGCTTGTACTACGACCGCATATGCTGCGTGCTTTTGCAGCCCTGAAAGTGTCGTCCTCGCACGTGCAGTACCCGCGCCCTCAACCGTGCGGACCGTGTACGACGCGCCGCCAGGACCACTCGCGCTTAGTACTGTGCTGTTGCTATTTAGCTGGAATAAAGATCATCATACAATTTTATCTTCTGGCCAGGAAGTCTGTTATAGTTATATCTTAATTATTTATTCTCTACGTGTATCGTTCTTATTAGAGGAAAGCCCTACCACATAATAAGAATTACGTCCTCCTATAAACCTATTTTAACAATTGAATATATTTTTTTATGCAGAACACAGCTAAAGTAAATAAACAAAACAATATCTAAAATAAGTTTATTAGGAACGTTTCTTTCTTGTATAAGGGACTTAGTAGATTTTTTTTTAAGAATCTGGAATTACATTAAAGTAAAGTAGTGGTAACAAATTATGTTTTTACTTCATAATTATATGTATTTTTTAATCTTAAACTAAAATATAATTGTATGTTATTTTTTCTTTATAAGAATTCGTTACTTCTTGGTAGAAAGCATTAAGGTAAGTGATTTACCAGCCTGATGAGTTTTATCATAATTTTTTGATATCCACTTTTAAAGGTTTACTATTAGGTAATACTATTACTAATAATACTAATAGGTAATATTTTTTATATATATTACTATTATTATATTTATTTATACTACGTACTAAATATTATTTATAAGTATTATGCATCTAAAATGGTGACTTACTTCTTGAAATCCTACGTAGTAGCCAAGAATGTTTCCATTCCATAGATCCCTTTGTGGTGGCTCCCAGCTCACTATCAATTCCGTTGAACTTTTTGCTTCCACTCTCACGTCTAACGGGGGACCACTAGGAACTGAAAGGTATTGTAAATTAAGTAAAAAGTAAGAAGTTTTACGACGTTAATTCTCATACAGTTATACAAGCTTTGCCTACAATTTCTTCGTGATCTGAACATTGATTAACTGGTACAAAAATAATCTGTGTGCTTATCCATCATAAAATGATATATTTATGCAAAATTTTAAGACATCGGAAGCATCTGTTATAAATTTGGTATTTATTTATTGTTCTTAATGGAACAATAGTTGTAGGTAGATAAATACGAACCTTCTTCAGTGGTTGTGACTTGTACGAGTTGGCTTGGTTCACTCTGACCCAGTCTGTTCTCTGCTATGATTCGCAAATGGTAGGACGTTGCGGGTTGTAGATTCTGGACGCTAGCTGACGTCACGCTACCGGGAACTATTACTTTCTGTGGTGTCGTTGGCCACGGCTCTATAATTTTATCAAACTTATTTTATGTATTTACAAACTAAGAAGTTATACTTTAACTGTGATTAGTATGGTTATATGTTTTTTTTTACGTGAGTCTGCTATCGATCTATAAGGCGTCCAATAGTGATGGTTCGAAATTTAACTTATATTTGAACGTAATTTCACTATAGATACTTATATGTATATAAAACATAACAAATATATTATGATTAATTACCAGAAGCCTCTTTATATTGAACGATATAATTTATAATAGGACTATTTCCAGCGTAAGGTTGCGTCCAAGATATTTGTATCGACCGTGACTGCTGATCGATTATTCTTATATTTTTCGGCAATTCGGGTACCTAAAAGAAAAATAGATTAGATTAAAATAAAAATTTCAAAATAATATTAAGTTTACTGAAAAATTGCATATCAATATAATACATACCTCTTGAACAACTAAGTGTATAAGCATTTCATCTTGGCCGTAGGCATTAGAAGCTCGACAAGTAAGCGCCCCTGTGTCTTGTCTGTAAGTCTGTAATATGCTCAGTTCAGAGACCAATCCATCATCTAGAACTTGTTCACGAATTGTATACCTATAGAACATAATTTATCAATATTAATGTTTTAATATGGATTATAACTAATCAGTAACTGTTAGGAAGTAAAATTTTCCCATCTACGCTATAATTTAGGGTCTCGAATACACAGTTATTGAGGTAAAACTATTATTTTATTACCTTTGATCTAAATGGTGAGCAATTGTGTGGTGATGTGGGCTTCGCCAGCTGACTTCCAACGGTGCATCTCCAGAGGCAGCACACTGTAGATGCGCCGCCTCTCCCGCTGTCACTTGTACTGTTTTGCTCTTCATTGGGAACCGAGCTGGTGCTGAGTATATAATAGAAATATTAATATTTTAGATAATCTTCTTAAAGATTTTTTGGTGATATTACTTGTTTTATATTAAAATTTCTCTCTGCTAAAAGTTAAAGAAATTTAAGTAACGACGAACGCGCAATAAACCATGATTGTTTATGTTGTGTTGGATACAATATCCTTCGTTTAATTTAAGGAAGAAAGAATATGCGGCAGCCAATATATATATTACATGGTTTATGGTTTATAAAAGATGGGACTTAACGCGGTAATTTATCTGGGTTATTTCGACGTCTTACCGTGTAGTTCTGGTATAGAATAGACCACTTCTTACTTTCCCGTGGGTTTCATAAAAGTGTCCAAAGGAACTTAATGGTCAAGGGATGGGCAGCACCACTTAGAACATCACTATAGCTTAACTGCGGTTATCAATCCGTCTGTCAAACGTGGCAACTACTGGCAAAACCCCGCAAGAAGGAGGCGTGAACAATCGACGGCTGATATAATTTCGATGTTTAGTATGGTTTAAGAGAGCAATTAACGCGACAATTCACCTAGATTATTTTAACGTTTCGATCGGATTACACCGCTATAAACACGAGTTGCATGCAAGGCTAAAGTCCAATAGTTAATATTAAAGATTGCTTATCGAAGAGTATTAGTAAGAAATGATTAATTAGTACGCAACTTTGTAATAAAGACTGAAAACTACAAGAAGTCTTCCGTTGTTGTTTAGAGTTTTCCACCTAGAGAAAGTGGACTAATGCTTTTTTCTAATACTTTATTTAAGACGTTGTTATAGAAAGGAGATTCTTGGAAATGATTACCCAGATTGTTTGGTAAAAGTGGGTCTGGGACGAGGAAAGATTTAGTAGGTATAACGTCGACTCGTGACCGTTGCGGTCGCTCGCTGTAATTTATTGTGCTGCGTTCTGTTTACGAAACCGCTCACATTTTTGTGATTTACTGCTTGTAATAAAACCAGCTCATTTAAAACAGTGACGGAGACGCACTCGTATTTTATAACAGAATATCATTTGTTAAGTTCTAAAGTTTATTTCACTTCGAGTGGACAGATATCTGTAAACTTCAATTGCGCAAATTGTTTTAGGGGTCATATGAAACTGAAGCAAACAAACGGGAAATGAGATTATGGCTGGGAGAACTGTGTACAAACTGGTTGCGAACGTGACCGTCTCGGGGTACCGCAACTACCGCAGTCCGCCTACTATCGAACTAACAAATTTTCTTTTAGCCTTGTTTGGGGATTTACAAGTTACATAAATCAAACATTCATTTTCTTTGGGGAGTACCCATACTTTTTTGTCTTTAAAAGCCTAAACACGTAAAGGATGTAGTGACGTCAAGGCGGCCGCTGATATTTTACGATATTTGCTTCCCAACAAAAGCCAATATCGGTGAACACAAACACGTACACGTGAACTTATTCCAGTGGAAGCCAACTGTCTCGTTTTCCAATAAAAAGGAGACGTATTGCGACGTACGGTCATTGAGTTTTCTGCTCAGACGCGCTCGACACACGCTGTCGCCTGGCGGCAATTGAATAACCTACAAATACATTGGCGCTTTTCTTGCTCGGTCTAGAGGAAAATTGGCGGTTTTCATTAATTAATTAATTAATATTTGGTGTTCGCTAATTATTAATAATGGTAGTGCTTATGTGGGGGTTGACAATACTTAATCTATTCACAAGTATCGAAAAGTTTCACATTCTAGTAATATAAATATCAAAGAAAAATGTAGTAGGGTTCTGTAATACCTATGTTATATTGAATAACGAAAATGAGAGAAAGAATGACAGAATAATAATATGCTTGAATAGTTATTCATTATTTTTCGTATAGAATTACTGAGGTAGGCACGTGGTAGCAGCCAGTGTAGGATTGAATTGTTTTATAAGTATTTCGATAAAATTTACCGATTCTTTGAAAGATTCGTGATAATAAAAGATATTGATTTCCTTATTTTTCTCAGAATAGCCGCTTCGAAGTTTTTCAGAAATCATACATTACAATTTTATGAGAAATACGATTTGCCATGGGCAGAATCTAATGATGATTGTTTATTACCTATGCTGTAATCGGATATGATTTTTAAAAATAGTATACTTTGAATGAATCGTGATTTTTTTTTATAATTATTCAAGTTACTGGAAGAAATAGATATACCAGCAGTCAAAAGTAGATTTGGTAACCTATATTATAGACGTTAACATACGATGCAGAACGCATATGCAACAATATATATAAATGTAACATAAACAGTAAAATTTTCGTTTTATATTTAAATTCTAAAAAAGTAATCTGTTTGTGCAGTCAGACAAGTATTTATTCAAGAGATTAAATTCTAAGTGCGTCTTAATTATACAGTGGGTACCTAGTGAAAGTAAGAGAGATTAATATAATTTAAAACGTTACTAGGTAACTTGTTAAGTACCTAGAAATAAGTTGATAAAGTATATTCGTATTTTATAACATCTTTGATCCAAATTTAATTATCCATAGACATATATAAATATATTAATTTAATTTTCAGTATGAACTGTTTCACTGTTATAGAGTTTCTAAAGAAATAAAGTTCGTAGAAGATGCTACGTTGATTAATTTCTTTTTAATAAATAAAAAAGAAGTCTGATAATAAGTATAGGTACATACCTATATGCATTTATTCGTACATAGGCTTATTGTAAAAACATATCGTGAATATTTCTATATACAAAAATTGTCTTAAATGTTTCGAAAATGGATCATAAGAATAATAGAATATTATACTCGCAAAACGCCCTTACATATATTGTTATATTTTCTATACTCGTATATGCGGATAATTTAGATCGTGATACGATACATTATTATTACAAATTGGTATATAAAATAATTTTTGTATTCGTTTGTTATCCGTACGAAATAAAACAACGCTCAACAATGTGCTAGTGTCCCATTTATAGTTTATTATTTATAAAATAATAAATTATAAATGCGGTAATCAGATATAGATCTCCTATTTATTTAGTATCTAATAACAATATAATATACGATATAAAAATCGAATACAAAAATGAAAAACTGCCAATGAAAATCATCTTAGGTGGCAGGAGAATGCAAGACGAGGAACATATGACCAGAAATGCTTGTGGGGTGGACAGGTATGGTCAAATCTATTATCATGTAAAACTTTGCTCAAGTTGACAAATCCAAATCAAATCTTTCTGAATCCACAATATTAATAGGGCTGAGTTTACTAAGAGGAATGAGCTAAGTAGAAAAATAGAATACTACCAGTTGAGCAATTTGAACGAGTTATCGGGCGTCACGATCCCGTAGAATTAAATAAAGCGAGACAGTAAAACGGTCGGGTGTAAAGTTACTGAGGAAGCTTTAAACATTTCGTGACTTGCGAGATTATCGTTGAAAAGTGCAGAGGTAAGTACTCGTATAATAGCATAGAAGTGAACTTGTCCGCGGCTTATCTTCGCCTAGTTAGTATCGCTTTCTTTGCGATGTGATTAGTGATGTATATTTTAAGATATTTAGTAAGTACTAATTCATCTAAAAGATAAGCAAGCTAAAGTGGCAATTCGCTGGTCACATAGTTCGCAGAACCGACAACCGATGGAGAAGAATAGTTCTTGAATGCCAACCCTGTATGGACAAACGGAGTGTAGGACAATCCTTATGACACCTCCCCCATGCGTTGCCATTCCTGAAGACTCGGATGTTACTCCTCTGTACCCTGTAAACTCACTGCCATACCCCACTCTTTAAACCGAAACACAGCCATGCAAACACAATTGCTACATGGTAGAAACATGAATAGCACAGAGGTGTCCAAGCAAACGACTTTTGTACAAAGTCTTCCTCTGGATTGGAGATTGAAGGCTAATACGGAAGCCTGTAGAACTTCTGGTAGTAATGATGGTGGTCAATTTTCGAGTGTTGGCAGTCACACACCTACTAATGGTAGCGGAAGTAAAGAAAATATTTCTAAACGAATAACGAATCATATAAAACTGTCATTGGCAGTAGTTTAGATTGAAATCGATATTATGATTAGATTTAAGGTAGACTTGCTGGTTAGATTTGATAGTGCATTTTACCAGAAGAGATTAGTGTTCAGAATTACAATGTTAATAAGTTGTTAAATTTTGTTAATGGAAAAATTTGGAAAATATTTGAGGAAATTAATATACTGGCATATGTTTTGAAATTAGTAAAAATCACACTATTTAACGATGCATATCTTCTAATAGAGTCATATTGAGATAGTAGCATATTTCTTATTATGCTTAAATAGGTCGATATAGTAGACCCAGTTAAGCAGTTATTTGGTCAAACAATGTTAGAATAAAATTATAAAAACAACTTTTCTCGCCAAGATTTTGGCTTTAACTAAATATCTTTGATTTTATCGTTTGTAGCGGCGATTAAAAGATCTGTAAAATAAGCATGGTTGGTTTTATATAGTATTGACTAGATGGATGAATAAACACTTTATTTGAGCTATTTATGACACACGTAAAATAACAAATGAGTTTATTTTTTGAGAGTTGAAATTAATTACACTTTTTTTTAATATAAAACAAAAGATAAAATACAAAAATATGTTTTCGTCATATGTGTCGCAGTGACTAGTTTTATTTTAAACAGTATATTATAGATTTGGTTTAAATAATCATTAAGAAATTTTAATTTTATTTTCTAAATTTATTACTTAATTGCTTTTCCCAATCTATAACAGATCTTATTAACTTAAATAAAGTTAATTTATGTTCGGGTACGTAGACATACGGAAAAGGTAAATTTAAATTAAGAAACTCTATGTGGCAAGAAAATTAGATGAATATTTTGTCAAACAGATATTCATACACAATTTAAAGGATGCAAGTATTAGGAGAGAATAAGAGGAATTATAATGATCAGGTAAATCGTATACTATCTGATGGAGGAGTCTAAAATCCTCTGAAGTGGTGTGTATTACTTTAAAATTGGTATGAAAGATGTTACAATATAAAGGTTGAATAATTTGCCTTATTAGTTATGATGCAACGCAGTCTGATCCGACTGATTTGAGGTGTAAGAGGTATTGCTTCGAATCTACATGGATCGAGCTGTGGGTAGGTTATATTTATCGATCAAATAATTGAAATCAATTAGATCAAATCTATCTTAAAACATGTGGATAGGAATTATAAGAAAAAAGAAAAACATTTGGAAAGATTTCAATCCTATGACAAAACATTTACGTTGGTGAATAAGTGAAAAAACCTACACAGACTGCTCGTATATCTAATCGAATATATCAGTCTGTTAATGCCCTTTTTATTACTCAGCTGGCATCGATGCTAGCTACAAAGCAATAATGACGAGAAAGAATTTTCATTTGAGTACGGTTTCGTGTCTCCTACGAAACTCGTAGTAAGGACTAAGAAGGGTCGCTATCAAGACATTCCACAACTTTCTGGTCGGTCACACAAAAAGATGCTGCCTTTCTTTTTATGCAGTCTAAAATGTGGGCAGAGTGGAATTGTAAGGAGAATAAAAATTGCTTATTGTTGAATTGGAAAGTAAACAAGTTCGTTAGTATAAATGAAGCTAGCTGCAATATTGATTTTGAAAATAAACTCTCACAGGTTATTTTGTATATGATAATGAGGATTAAATAATGTAATTTGTGTGATTGATCATAATACTTTGAATAAAATTTAATAGAAAAAAGAAATATTTTCAGATATCTACACATATTATCGACTTTGTTATTGAATTATTTTATTTATTTAAAACTGCGAATAAAAAAGCTTCATAAAACATATTAAAAGTCTATCTGCATTTTACTTCAATTTCATTATAATTTAAAACGAGCACTTAATCTGCTAGGTAGTCGTAACTTTGCCGGTTTAAGTTACCCGTTGAATCTAAACCTAAAGTAATAATACAGAAGACAAGTTTATTTTAACAGACGTCTTTCTTTAGCTTTTCTCTAACTAGCCCGCAGTTTCTCAACATCCGCTTCAGTTAACAGAATTACAAGGTAGTTTTCTGCTTTAAAGTTTTAGATAATCTGATCACAGCTTATTCTCTTCCTTCATTAGAATCTTCATCAGTCTAATTAAAAGCTAATTCATCAAAATGTATTCTACATGCTCATAATGGTTTCTATGTATACTATTTATTGGTAGTTACTAAAATATAATTGTTAGCAAAAAAAATTTAGATTGTTATGGTTTACAATCCGGATTAAAAAGGACCTGTAACTATGAGACCGATTTCTGTAAGCCATTTTGCATTAAATGAGTATCATATCATACTTGAGTTAGTAATTTGTATTGTTAGTTCTATATTTTTATGATGAGATGTTAGAAAAGTCGAGTATTCACCATAATGACAACAGTTGACAAATGCTTTTATTCTATCTATAGGTTTAAAATCTCCTTTATCTTCACTTCTTTATTTGGTGTATTTTGATCAGTATGTTATATGAAATGTTTTATTATTGATAAAACTATTCATTGTTGATTATATTGATTTCTAAATATAAATATTACCTATATTACATGTAAATTCTAATTTAGTTTTATTTAGGTCAAAATTTTTAAGCCTTATGATTACCCTCAAATTTGTAGAAGAATTAACCAGTGTAAAATATGCAAATGTGCCATGTGATAGCATATATATATATATATATATATATATATATATATATATATATATATATACGATAATTGTGAATAGAGCAAAACCAATATGACTACAAGTAGAGTATTTTCAATTTAGAGCTAAATGTGATTGTTGAATATTATATCTTATCGTTATCATTATATCAGCCATCATCTGTTCATTGCTGAACATAAGCCTTCCTCATAAAGGGAGTTTTGCCAGTAGTTACCAAGCCTGGCAGGCGAATTGGCAACCGCAGTTAGGCTTTTAGAGATGTTTTAAGAGGGACGCTGCTGCCTTCGCCCTTCCTTAGTCTCTCTTCTTCGCCTCTTACGACACTTACGGGAAAGGAAGGGGTGGCCCATTCTATGCAGGGCATACACGGCGATTTTATATTATATCTATGTACCTCATCTATCTAAATTTTTCTATCTGTAAGTATTATATTAAAATATGTATGTATGTGTACGTAACTTACCATTCACTTTGAGAAATATGAGTTTACTCAAGCCAGCTCCAATGTCGTTCCTTGCTTCGCACAAGTAATGTCCCTCGGAGTCCTTCGCTACACGCTCAAATACTAGGGAACCGTTTTCTAACACCCTGGAACTGCCTTCAAACATGAAGTCTTTGTATTCTCCGGGAGTATTGCCTGTGTTAGAAAAGTGAATTTATAAAAAAAGAAATATAATAAAATAACAATAATGAACAAAAATGTTTGGAAATTAATCTTTTAATGTTTATTAATGATCCGGGAGTTGCTTGTTACTTTATACAGAAAATAAGCATCCAGAGGGGTGATGCTACCAGTAACTTGAGAACGCTACCTCGATACAGTGCATTGGAAGATTATAATATCTCTATAAGTATTTATAATACAACTAACTGTGATTTATTAAATAAATGTCAGGGTATCACAAGATTTATTAATATGAAAATTTGATATTACTTCAGTAACACCTCTAGTACTGGTAGCACCTATATGTTATGATAACTTGTAAGAAAACAATCACAATTAATGGCCAGAGAAGAATTCAGTCTGTATTACGCACCAACGGCTTTTTTCCATGTGATAGTCGGTTTGGGATAACCATCGGCTTGACACTGTAGTGTGACATCTTGTCCAGCGGCTACAGCCACGTCATTGGGCTCGAGACGCCATCGTGGTGGAACTATAGAATTATTAATAATTTTTAATAATAAAATAAGTTATATATATCATGTCGTATTCTAAATAACTAAATAATTATATCACAAATCACCACAAAAATCCAATCAACATATATTTGTAGACAAATTAAAATAAATTATATAATACACAAGTCATAGACATGTTACTTACCATTCACTGTCAATGGTACAGTAAACCTTTCAGAGCCAGCGACGTTTGAGGCAATACAAGTATAATTTCCGCTGTGTAGTGAAGTGATATGTTCTATTACTAACGATGCACTGTATTCATCCATTCTTCTTGTTATAATGCCGCTGGGTGCATATGGAGAGGATGTCACAGGCTGTCCGTTTTTCTCCCATCGAAACGCAATTGGTAAATCGCCCTCTAATATTTGACAAGAAATCGCTGCCCTCATTCCTTCTCTTAACAAATTTGTAAGTGGTTGAATTGGCAAGATTTTCGGTTGAACTGTAAAATAAAAAGTGGGTTGGAATGCAGAGTGATGTCCAGATAACGATTCTATAACTTGTAACTTTTGCTGAATAGAATATAGTCTGCAAATTGCTCTGTAGCATTAATGTTAATTAATGTGAAATCTTTAAGTTTTGTTTACGGTTTGATTCCAAGTGCCTCATTTTAGGGTTCTTTTGTGTAGGTTTACTTTTAATTTTTTTTTTATATTTTCATTTTATTGCCCTATTAACTGGGGAAAGCTAGAATTTTAACGCTCGGTAGATGCCGCGGGAACGGTAAACGCGCTAACTTTAATGAATTACGGATGAGTAACTCCACCCCTCTTGAATTCGTGATTTTATAGCGCTTTAAATCTTACTACAGAAAATGAGAAAGTTTATATCCAAATTGTCTGACTGTTATCAGTTGAGTAAATTTATCCACATTAAAACTTTAACTTACGAGTTATATTTATCGCTACATTTAGACATCCTTAAAAACAAACTCAAAACTTCAAACAAAACATCTCTATATTATTTAAAGTATAAGGTACCTATATACATTTAAAGTAACTTTTTTACGATAACTATCTTCATGTATTATTAAATTATTTATTTTTCTTATATGACGAAATACGAATCGGAATGGTTATCTATTTGATAGATATAGCTAGCTTTTAGTTTTTTTTCCTTGTAAATTAGCATATAATTCTATGTAATTATTTATAACATTATGGTCTACCTGTATACTTAATTTCGTCCAAATAGGTTTAGAGTAACATAAAAATACCCAAACATCAAACAACAAACAAACAATCTATTATTAGTATGTAGTAGCTGAATAGCATCTACGATAAAATGTGGCTACGTGTGAAATACCTAATACTTGATTACAATTTTTCACAAATATATAAACTGTTTGAATTTCTATAGAGATTGTTAATGTTACCGGTATCTAATTTGCTATACATTCTCTTAATTTTAATAAGGAATAGGAGGATATATATCATACTAGCTTTTACCTACGACTTTGTTCGCGTGACTAGGATATGTTTACTGAACGGGATAAAAAGTAGCCTATATCCTTCTTCTTTCCATATCGTACGTATATACTGAGCTTCAAAGTGATTGCCTAAGTCGTTAGGTGCTATAAGGTAACAAACAAATTCACTAGCATATTTATAATATTACTTATACAAACTTTTTGTGGTCAGATCTTTGTTCTTGTAGAGTGGATTCCGCGAGAGTGATAATAATTCATCGATGACATAATACTATGATTTTTACGAAGTTGCAAAAAGATTTTATTACGTTTTTATTGGAAAATATAACCGTTGCGTCTACAAAGTTATTTAAGCTGTTAAAATAACTATTTTCAAAGTGTAACCTATTCACATTTTACATTGTATGAACTACATATTGAGACTGTATATGATATATAAATAATGTTTTTTATACTTATTTATATATTTATATTTATATACTATACGCATATAAATAAACACTATGCATAGATAACGCCATATGGTATTAAGACCTTCATTTACATTTTCTAAGTGTATTAAAGTTTAATAAATAAATAAATATAATTATTTTCATATTAACATTTTCATATAACAACAATTAGAAAAAATAATTAAATGCATACATAGTATATTGTTAGTAGTAAAAATATTTAAAATCATTTTTAAAAACAATGGGCAAAACATATTAACTTTATTCAACACTGAATTGCTTCATCTGTCCTCACCTTAATAGATGGACAGACTTTTATAAATTTCCCCCTCTATAAATCAGGGTATTTTTTTTGTATGTTGGTATGTGAATAAAAATTTTATTCTTTCTTGTCATTTTGTTTTTCTACGAATAACAGATGACTAAAGACCTGCGCTGAATGATAAGAGGATTTAGAAATGTAATTATTGAATTTTTATGTTGTTGTTGTTGTTGATGTATTTATAGTTATTAAAATTGATGACTCACCTAATATCTGTACTTCCACGTCTCTCCTGGCAGCATGCCGTTGTCGATTCGCTGCTTGACAGGTGTAGGTTCCGGCATCCTCTCCACGCTGCGTTTGTTCTACTATCAGTGTACCATTAGGAAATACTTTTTGTCGTCGGTTAAGAGGTAATGTCTGTCCATCTGTAAAAAAATAATAATGCCAATCGTTATGCGAAAAATATCATTATTATTATAAACTATTTTCCACCAACAGTATGTCCAAACACAATTTTTCTACATAGACATTCAGTTTATTTGTCTAATAAGGGGTAAATCCTGAATATTATTTCAGTACATCACAGCTCAAATTCTACTCTTGTGAATTAGTATATTATATTTATATTTAAGAGTTTTCTCTTGTCTGTGCAGCTAATTCATGCACCTTCTCTTTTCCAGGCCATATCCTTGACCTTTCTATACGACATGACACTTAGTTTCTATTATCTGTCCCATGTAGTTATTCCGCGGTCTTCCCTCCTCTTTTGCCTTCTATTTTCCTTCTACTATATTCTTTAAAAAAATCATCGTGTCGTATAAGATGGACCAGCACTGTGCCTCTTCTTTCTTGAATTAGTATATAAAGTGTTAATTTACAATAAAATCTATGTACATTATTTAATTCAATATGCCTTCAGCCGTCTAAACATGATTGAGTAACAATCATTCAAACTTTCATATAATATAATAGATATGAATAGAAATAGGATAGTTTATTCTTTGAGAGTATGTACTTTAATAGTAGTCTATGCTGACTCAACACTTCATAAGTTACATTCTGGCTGACACTAAAAAATATGTAAATGACATCGCAATTTTCTCGCATACCAAGCTTTGTACTTACTAAAATATTGTTAGCTCTCCAACATTTTCCGATATACTTAAAAGGGAAAGTTTGCTCTTTGCCAAGTTGAAATTGCGATATTATGTTACTTTGATAATTTATAAAAATCGTCCTTATTACCCTGTGTGAAATTGTGGTCGTGTCAAGTGAACATTTTTACATTAAATTCCATAATAAATAAATAAATATGTACTATCGATAATTATTTATAATTTAAAATTCGAATAATATTTAAAATTAAGCATTGCATACGAGTATTTAATGAATTTAAAATTGTTAATATACTGAAGCATAAATCGGTTGGGTGGAGAGTTCACTAGTAAAAACATTTGGATGTACATATTTATATAATAAGGGACGTATTATAATTTACCATAGCAACGTATCGTATGATCGCACGATTTTACTGTCATATTATAAGAGAACAACAAAATGTATGCATAAAAATATTTAAATTTCCGCCCTTATTTAAGATATCGTCGCAATCAGTTAAAAACGTTTCCATACAGTTACATACCTACGAGTATGTAGATAGATAATAATACTCGTAATGTAGATTTTGGTTTCTAATTATAGCATAAACCATTATGACTTTACCGAGAATCGTTGATTTGAGTAACCGCTTACAGTGAAGTAAACACAGTAAACAGAACAGTAAAGTAAGTTTAGTTAATCACTAGCAGATTTGTCATACCTACATCAAATGTCGATGAAACAAGTTAGATATTTATTTTCACCCTGATGGGCCGGATAAAGTGATAAGGTACTAATAGAAAATCAGCATCGTTAGCGAGGCTTTTGCAGAAACTTTAAATTGAATTGGCATCCTTTTTCATTTCGACGGCTCTTACCGAAAATCAATTAGCTAGAGACGTGATAATATCTATCTATCAAGGATTTTGTTTTTCAATGCATAGTTTAATAGTCAGTTAAATGAATTGAATACTTTAATAGATTGTAAAGTAATATATATATATATATATATATATATATATATATATATATGTATATATGTGTATATATATATACACATATATACATACATACATATATATATATATATATATATATATATATATATATATATATATATATATATATATATATATATATATATATATATATATATATATATATATATATATATATATATATATATATATATATATATATATATGATATTTAGTATATTATACAGTTAAAAAATATTACTGAGACATAATTTATGTAAGAGTAACCTCAAAGGAAATTACCTAAATAGGAATATCTTGTATTAATATCCTCCATGTTTAAAATGAAAACATAAATTATTTTCGTTTAGGAGACACGTGTACAATGTACAAATAAAGAAAACCCTTGGGAGTGCTGACCTACATAATATTTTATAAAAAAAATCTTCGACAAATATAACGGCAGCTGTTGATTCTTTTGATTTGGAACGATGGGCGCCCTTTTATTTCTCAATGCAGGTATGAAAATGCTCAGGTCAGCTTAATGAGAGTGCTCTATGAAAAAGATAAGGCTCCTGTGTTGACAAGGGTCAGTAGGAATAAGGAAAATTGCGGAGGAGTGGCCGCTCTTGATTCGATCTAAGATCTTACGGTTTAATTTTGTTATGGATGATGTACCTTTCGAGATATGATTCTTGTTTCTACTAATGGGATTGTAAATGAGTTCGTTTCGTTTACTTTTTATGTAGTAACTATTATTATTTTTTGCAGATTATTACAGCGTAATTATACTAAATAACTTCTCATTGGTATTTTATAGTAATACTTTTATATTTTCATAGATACTCATAGCTGGGGTACAAATTCAAATTATCTTTATTCAAATAGACTTATTTACAAGCACTTTTAAATCGTCATTTTTTTTAATCTGCTGCAGGTTCGGAGAGTTGCTATCTGTCGAGAAGAGCCTGCAAGATACTCCTTTAAATCTCTGTTAACATTATGTGTACTTAAATGTACTACGTCTAAAATTACACGGTCGTTAATGGCATAATACGAGTAATACTACTTCATGTAGTGGTATACATAATGAATAGGTAGTTCAATTAGATGTAGTGACAATTATTGAATAATTAAAAGTCAATCAATCAATTCAAGACAATTATGGTTTACAACCATTGTATAAATGTAAGAGAGATGAGGAGAACGTAGTGGCATAGCTAAGAGTTTATCATTCCGACTGCAGTGATTGTGTTCGAATTAAGTTTACACCGAATATTTTGTATCAATTAAATTTTCCATTAATTCGTTAGTAAAGGTAAATATCGTACCAAATCCGAGAGATGGTGGTAGGCTCGCCCCTTATCACTTTGGACTTGAATGTAAGCAGATTAGGTAGATAAATAAAAGTGGACTAGTTGAGTACAGTTTATATATCTATACTTGACTAATCTATAACAATTTTTTACTCTTCCATAACTGCTGTGGGATATTGTTATGCGTATATTTGTGTGGTAGTCAGTGATCTACCCTATTAATTAATCAGCTGCTAACGTACCTATTACCCCATGTACATATCATTATTAAATCTTTTTTCTTTGCACGGAGCGAACTTTACTATTATTAAAATAAATATTACATTAATTTATCTATTCATGAATCTATAGATACACTTTTAATATAATTTGTATAGTTTATGAATGAATTAGAGAGATCTGGTTTTATTTTTAGTAAGGACCTTATACGTTATTGTAATAAAATTCTAGATCAATGGAAGATTAATATATAGATTGATAGATAAATAAATACTCTTTACTGCTTTCTCCAAAAGATTACAGCAGTCAAGTAATTATAACTAGTCTGGCCATAAATACTGTTACATAAAAACTGTTTTTTTTCAAATATTTAATTATTTTGAAATTAGAACGCATTTATTATTTTAAAAATTTCTCTAGATTTTGCGACATTTCACATATTTTTTCGTGTTCATTATCAAATTACAATTTGGAATAGGGTGTTAAAGAAAATAGGATTGCAGTGATTGCCTTGCACAAAGTGGGTATGGAGCCGTCGGTCATATTCTAGACACTTTAAAAGCTTGGTATCAGCCGTATGTTGGTATATCGTATTATCAACAGGTACAACAACACTTCCTCTGTCGAAGAGCAGAAAAGATTGGGGCGGTCGCGTACTGTTAGGGCTACAAAGGCTGTTAATGCTGTTAAAATCAGAAATCGTCGAAACCCTATTAGGAAGCAAAAAATGAAGATTTCCGCTAGGACTTTGTCGCGTAAAACAAATTTTCACGATTGAAGAACACTTCTACTATTAAATAATAAAGTGTACGCTAACAGTTCTAAAGAAGCTGCTCAAGTGGTCGGAAAGGTACAACGTGGACATCATCCTGCGCCAGTGATGGTTTGGTGGGACGTGTCTTATCAAGGAGTCACAAAACTACATTTTTGTGAAAAAGGAGTAAAAATTTTAACCAAAGTGTATCAAGATACAGTCTTGGATTGTGTTGTGAAACCTCACAGCAATATACTTTTTAAAAATATACCGTGGACTTTCCAGCACGGACTTTTCTCCACCTGGTCACAAAAAGCACGAACTACCCAAGCCTGGCTTGAAACCAATGTTCCAAATTTTATAACAGCCGAAGATTGGCCCTCATCTAGGCCAAACCTCAACCCTTTTGATTTCAAATTATGGTCAGTTTTAGAGGACATGGCCTGCTCTAAACAACACAGCAACATTGAGTTTCTTAAAATATTTTTGGAGCAAGCAGTGGCGAAAATTTCCTTGAAAACAGTGCGTAAATCCATAGATGCGTGGCCAGAAAAATTAAAGGCCTATATAAATGCCAAAGGTTGGCTATTTCGAATAGAATATTTTTGTATTTTTTGTTGACACTTTAATAAATATGTATTTAGTAAAATTTTAGTAATATTACATTACTTCATAAAAAAATGCATTTTAATTTGTAACAAAACTTATGGCCGCTCTAGGTAGATATAAACAATTACAAGAAATCATCACACTGAGAAAACATTGAGGGGTGGCCTTATCGCTATAAGCGATTTATTCCAGGCTATCTTTAATAATTTATAGCATTAGTTATATTATTAATAGGTAGCTTATATAGGTACATAGGAGGTAACAGAATGGTAGATATAAATACATATTTACTTCTTATTATTCAATTTCTTTTACTAATTTTGTATTACAACTTTGTTTGTGGATATTTCTAGTTTAGCCGCATCACGACGGAAAAACAAGACCAGAATAACTTAGATTTGTCCTTAATTGGATCGTGGGAAGGTGTCTAGTTTATTAGATTGGGGGACGCAATTTGTTTCGCCACTATATTACGGACTTGGAATGGAGTAGAATGGATTTTCAAGTGTTCTATTTAAAAACAGAAATAAAATGTCGAAAGGCATTTGTTTTATTCAATACTTTAAATGTAGTATTGAGATATAACGATATAACGAATGATATTTAAATTATTTAATTACGTAATTCTATATAACAGTAGAAACATAGATCTAAAAGTTAGGAGGCTGCTTTATTTATGTTTGACAATACGTTACTACGCATATTAAAAATATCCTTGTTTATATTGTTAAGATAAATATGAAAGTGAGTTTGTTTGTTTGTTTTCTTTTTATAGCGGCTTACTAGCTCAACTAATCGACTATGAAATTTAGTATACAAATAATAAATAGATAGTAAGTAGAAAAGGATATAGGCTGTTAAACTTGTCCCGTTCACGCATACGAAGTCGCAGATAAAAGTTAGTATTTAAATAATTTTTAAATTGAGCATATCATTACGGGTTTAGATTTCGCAATGGGAATTATAAAAAAAAAGGCTCATTACAACACACACTAAAAGTGTAAGTGTGCGTTGATGCCATTAAGTGTCATCTACTACAATTTTAGAATTTATTAGTAAATCTTAAATTACATATTTGAAATTCTTAAAAGCGAAATATTATTATTCTTTTTCTCTTTTTTGTTTTTGATATGATAAACGTTTCAGTGTAGATACTACGTTCACAGATAAAACAATATTTTGCTATGCTAAAATAATCTACACGCAGAATTCGGCCTTCGATATTAATATAAAAGTGGAAACAAAATATTATCTACTTTCCTTTACAATAGAGAAAAGTCTGATTTGATTATTAAAATCTTTTGCTTGAATTTTTGCTCATTCCGACGGAAGTACGAACAGAAAATCTTCAAAGAGATTGTTTTTTGTTGTCTAAATAATAAATCAGATTTTTCTTATGTACCTATCTATGTAATCTACTTGTTTACATACGTTATTACCGCTTTACTGAATGTTATAATAATTTTATGTATTCGTATAAGTAGATATAAAGTATATAAATATTTTTATTAATCATATGAACAAATACTAAACTGAATCCTTGTTCTTTGTGGTATGAACTCGAAGGAAGCTAGTACGGATAATTGGTTTTGAGGCTACTTTGAAAACGGTAACATAAGAGTTCTTTGCCTTTACTTTATTCTAGTTTCCTTAACGACCTGTTGCTGCAAGATGGAGTATGTCGCCGACCTCCCGGGTGGCTAAATTCGATACTGTTTGAGGAAGCGTTTTATCTCGATACCTTATTTGCAGTATTTAAAGACATTGATCGCTCTCTTTGTGTAATGAGGACTTATAATTTACAATCTGGACTTAATGCGACGTGATTATAGATAAATAGTACATACATAACTGATCTTTATTAAAGACGTTTTTTATTGTGATTGAGAATTTAAAATATGTGTAAAAACAACGCGAAAATTTATAATTAATTAGCAAGGATATATTTTTTGAATAAATGTCATTGTCCCTGCAATAGCAATGAAGAAGGATAAGTATAACTATACCTATCCTTTTTAAATGCGTTTTATAAATATTTTTGTCTAATACTACTATAAGAATGACTAATGGCGATACTAAAGTTAGATAAAAACAAAATAAAATGAAAATTTTTCATTAATTGAAAATATACAAACTGATAAATACAAAATCGAATTTAGAATTGTATATATAAAAAAATAGATGAGAAATAATATAGAAAATAACTTGTGAAGGTGGAAACATAATTTCCGCGAAGAAGCGCCACGGTGGCAATTCAATTTCAGAACGTAATGTAGGGACGAAAATTATGGCAATTTTTTATCATTAACATGGCGGGACTAGAAGGAAACTTCGATGGAACAAGACTTTTTTATTTTCTTGCGAAAAAACTTTCTACGCTTCTTCTGAACTGTGGTTTTGGCTACAGATATTAATAGATAGATTAAAATGTTATAGCTTAGAGCCTTATACTATTTATTACATTAAACGTTTGGTTTCATAAAAGTTTATAAGTTAAATATAATCAATTGCTTGCTTGGAACCACTGGCACTGCATAGCATGAGTTTGTTTTTTGAAATCAATGTTCTTTTTAGTTTGATAGAATTTATATTACTTTAACATTTTAGAACTTTAAATAAAGATTTTACTTACTTTTTTAATAATAGTGCACATTATGTAATTGACTTGTAACCTAGTTGTATTACAAATGTAACTATTATTTATGTTATTTATATTTATGTTTTATGTATGTGTGATCTGTTTTATCTGTTTAATAAATAAAGTAAAACAAACTAAAATAGGTAGTAGGTAGTATGTGTAGTTTTCAATATTTAATGGCGGGAATTAAAACGCCTTAAATTTTGTATAAGGCGTTTATAAATTTAGATTTAAAGTGTGCATTTGTCAACATGCTTATATGGTATTTGTAGGTGGAAGAGAGTGGGATCAGTGCCAGAATGACCAGTAAATATTTGTCGTAAACTTGGCAAGGAATTGACGTGAAGAGACTAATATGCGACTAGAATTAGGTAATATCGCTTTTTCTGTGATTAGGTAGTCCTTATGTAACTTTTATATTTTTCTATTTCTAATAGAGTTGATATTTGTTTCATTAGATATATTTTATGTATAGAAAGTTTTTAAATTTCGTTATAGCTTAATGCCTTTACTAGAATAAATTCTTTCATTAATTAAAGATAAGTTTTCAAATTAAATCAATCACGATAAAAAGTTTAATAAATATTTTGATATCAGATAAGATTTATAATTATCATCTTTGGGGAGAGTTGTTCAGTTTCATGAATAGGTCAATAGCTTCAATAATAACTATACTACTGTTGGGTTTCTTTCAGTTTGATATATCTACTGCAATCCATTGTATATTATTGTTAAATTTGTTGTGAAACCTGTCTGCACGATTAAAGTTACCAATATCCATTGAGGTATCAAACGAGGTAAACATAATTTTGACTCCACTAAGTGAACAAAAACTTATTTAAGTATCCACCTATTTATTAAAGAAAAATCTTACCTCTCTCCCATGAAATTGACTCAATAGGATATCCAGCAACAGGACATTTGATATTTAAATCACTGCCGGCGACTGCGGTCACTTTGGGCATCTCTCTAATGTAAGGCAAGCCGTACACGTTCACTCTGGCGGCGTGCACTGACTTCCCGGCCGTGTTGCTAGCAACACAAGCATATTCGCCGCCATCTTGTTCAGTGACACGACTTATGTTAAGATGGCTGACAACATCATCTTGTAGAGTTACATGTTGTCCCACGACGAATCTGTTAATTATAAACACAATTATTTTTTATATATTCAAATAATTAAATAAATTTATAAATAAAGGTTGTCTGGAAGAGATTGCTTAGCAATAAGACTGCCTCTTGTACTACACTATACCTATTGAAAATTCTGTCCTGTTATAAAAGGTCCTGATATATTGGCGCAATAAATTGATAAATAAATAATAATTTAAATTTTCTACATATTATATATTATCCATTAGGTATCCTCCTCTTGATGAAGAACCCAACGTGATTAATTACTAGTTGTTATACTCGTATCACGATAGGTCAACTGACCTGACTTTATGGTCACTAACCACCATTTGTCAGCGCATGTAAAAATTTCAGACGGAGATATCATTCAATTTTCTGCCTGACAAAGCTGATTTCTCAATAATGAATAATTTAGCAAACATCGCAAATTGATACCAAAAACAAAGTGTTTTTAAAGTACGTAATAAGTACATAATACAGTTTTGAACTAAGTTCTTTCCAAAATTATTTATTTATTAAATAAATAATTGTTTAACAAAATACTTGCCTAGAATTTGTAGGAATAGGAAATCCATCCAGCAACCACGTGAATTGTGGTGGTGGATGTCCCATTGCTACGCATTTTAGAGAAACGCTGGGTCCAGGTTGTAACGTTTGCTCTGAGAACCAGTATACTAGTTCAGGCTTGGTTTCTGTAAAATAAAAATGTCTATATAGATTCAATAACAATATTAAGTATAGTTATTATGAAATTCTAGTATTTTATCATATGGAAAGTAAACAATTATTTTAATGTTTATTATCATTTGATATTTATTAGTGTTATTGTATTAGACATGGAAAAATAAGTCGACTATTTCTGTGCTGCATAAAACCATTTTTTCATTATATAAAGAGAGAGAGCTCAGTGAGCTTTAGAGAACGGGGTCCATTTTAATTTGCGTATCGGCTAAGCTGCATAAGCAGTTAAGGTCGATGGAGACAGGCCGACGGGCGTAGGTCGCAAATCCGGGGAATGGGCGCACAGGCACGACTTCGTTTCAAGCTTCGTCCATTATTTTTCCACGTCAAATAAATGATCTAATATATTTCAGGATTTTGTAGTTACGTCAGTGTAACGTGCAGAAGGTTTAATTATATATACGATGTTAATCTGTTATAGTGTGGTATGTTTACGTGTACAGAAATTCAAGTAATTGTACAGTAGATGTAGACAAATTATAGATTGTATTTATGTCATTTCAGGAGTAAATTATGAGAGAAAGTAACTGATGAGATGGAAAGATTCTTGACTGGTAACCTGACATATATATATATATATATATATATATATATATATATATATATATATATATATATATATATATATATATATAATAATAGGTATAAGCTTTTTGCAATTGACAATGATGCTGGTGAGTTAAAAGGACTTTAGGACTGTTCTTTGACAATGACAATGTATATCTCAATTAGAATTTGTGATATAAATGGAGCAAGTAGTGTCTTCCTATTATGAAGGATAAAGTGTGCGAATTTACAAGTATACAGTTTCTAATATATGTGAGATTTTTTAAATTACAATAGTAGCAAATAAGGATATGGCTCGTCTGATGGTACATCATACATCTTATTGAATATCTGCAACACTAGGGGTATCACACTTGTAGCAGATTTTTAACTTAAGAAATCATATCTCGCCATTTACATGAAGTAAAATGATGTAAAATGGTTTAAATTAAAATAAGAAGCCGTAATAATTGTATAAAATATAGCTCATTATGTAAAGTAATAAGGTTACAGAATTAGAGCTACAATTACATGTATGCGAAAGACATGTGTCGCAACTAATAATATCCAAATAAAATGTTGGCTTACCAGATGAAAAGGATTTAAGGTGGGTCATGAAAATTCTCGAAGACCTTTGTTTTAAAATTTAAGTCCCTAAACATGTATCTTTTTAGCTAATTCCTTTTATTGCAGCTTAAAGTATAACTGAAGAGGCGCAGAAAAGTTATTTAATCCTGTCATCTTTTATGAAAAAAGGTAACGCTCATACGAAAGGTGTTTCTATTATGGATATAATGCTCAAATTATTACAGTTCTTGCTCACGGTCACATTTAGAATAATTAAGTAGAGAAAAAGGTATTAAAAAGCTAAAATAAAGGTTAAGTGCAATTTATAAGTTTAGTGAATATTTATTTTGAAGATGAGAGAAGGAACGAGAGTTATTTCTAATATTTGTAAGAGAGGTTTTTATTTTTTTGATCATACGGAGTTAGTGACGTACTAATATAATTTTTTATGCAACTTAGAATGGCGAACAAGCTGACGGTCCATTAGATGGAAAGTGATAATTGTCGCCTATAAATAAGAGCAGTACCATGGACATAATAGAGTATACTGTTTCGTTCATTATACCCCCCGATGTGTTGCCATTCTCAAGGACTAAAGAATGACTGCCTCTGTACCCTATAAATTCACTGCCATATCCCACCCTTCAAATCGAAACACAGCCATGCAAACATAACTGCTTCACGGTTGAAACACCAATGGGAAATTAGTCGAGCTTTCTCGACCAAATTACACGTAAGTTAACCCGGTAGTTATTACATTAAAATATAATTGTGTACTTACAAAATTTTGAACAATAAAATTACTGATTAATGTCAGTAATCTTAAAATTGGTAATCCAAATAATAAAAATGTAATTACATTACAAAATCTCTGATTCCATCATTTGACTTAGCTTTCTCTCACGTAAAGTCCATTTACATACTTCTTCTTCATTTACCCACTCTCACAACATTACACAATATTTTACAATATTGTTGTAAAATAATAGCCGCGACAACGTATACTTACTGTATACAACTTAGACTTCGAGTATAAGAGCATTGAGTCTAAAAAAACGGTCAAGTTTTTGTCAAATTATCTGACTCGTTTTTTTTTTATCAGTGTTCTAAATACTTACGCACATAATGTATCTTGACGTATCTATATTTAATTATTTAATAAAGAAAATAACTTATTACGCATTAAAAATATGCAAAAATTATAAAATAAAATAAATATACAAGTTATAAAGGAAAACACTTAGAACTATTTATCACGCAAAATTGTATGATAAATTTGACCTGTTTTTCTCGAAGTATTTGTATAGAGACATTCTATCTATATATTTTAGGGTTTACAATTATTCATTAATTCTTTATTGAATCTAAATAGTAGTGGGAAGACCTAGTGACTTGTTCAACAAGTTCTTTGAATATCTATCTATAAGCGCTAGTTCTCCACAAGGTTAGATTTTGTTTCAATAACTTAATGGTTGTTGGCTTTTGTTATAATGTGAAATTATTATAGGAAAACAAATAAACAATTTTATTATTATGAAGATATATAATATAGTTCATTAAAAGCATCAATAAAGTATCTACTGCTAAAGTATTTAGATACTAGAAGCCAAAAATTCCTTTAGATATCCGTCGCATGTTATATATATATATATATATATATATATATATATATATATATATATATATATATATATATATATATATATATATCTAGATTGAAAGCTGAAAGATAATATTGCATGTAGTGCTAGGCGAGTCACATTAAAAAATATATTATCTCTCTAATAGTAAACGGTGTCATAGCCAGTGTTTCTTAATCATAAATTAGTTTGTTCTGTGGATAGATAGATTCTGTCTATAGATGACGGATACTACTTCCATCAGGTGGGCCGTGGCAGGTTTGCCATTCTTATTTAAATAAAAAAATTGCTGTCAATCAGACAGATTGATCTATTGACTTACATTTCTTATCATATCATCATAATATCAGCTTTTAACTGTCCACTGCTGAATATAAGCCTCCCCCTAGGGGGGTTTTGCCAGTAGTTGCTAAGTTTGGCAGGCGGATTGGCAACCGCAGTCAGGCTTCAGAGATCTTTTAAGAGGGATGCTGCTGCCCATCCCTCACCCTCCCTTAGTCGGCTCTTTCTAAACCCACGGGTAGGAAGTAGTGGCCAATTCTATGCTGGGATTACACATTTATTATATACCTACTTAATAGTAGGTATATAATCTTTACTTATATTATAAATTTGAAAGAGAGAGTGGTTGTTTGTTACTTTATAGCACCTTAATGGCCTAACCAATCACCATGAAATATGGGATGAAGAAGGGTATAGGTTAATTTTTATTTCGGCTTAAATATAACTCGTAAATATAACTCAGTTATGCGTACGAAGTCGCGAGTAAAAGCTAGTAAATGTATAAAGGAATGCCTTCTTATACTAATGATAGAAAGGCGTTGACGACAGATCAATAAAGGAATTTCTTACAACAGAAAGCAATGAAAAAATAAATATTGCTATAAATATAAATTATGTCGTATGGTAGAAAGTTACTGATAGGACCATTTGAAGTTATAATTCAAAATTTTGTGTCGAATTCTTCGGAAAAGAGGACATTTTGTAGTACATGACGATATATATATACACTGTCTTAAGTGGACAAACACTAGCATACATTCGCTGGCATCCATAAAGGCGCTACATGTTTGCTGATACCTGTATCTGCTCTTAGTTGTACGAGTATATTAGTAGAGTAGACGATTTTAGTAGAGTTTCCTATTGATAAATATTGTAAATCGACTCTAACCTCTAATGTCTCTAAATGTTTATTGGATGTTTCAGACTATACAACTTAGGATTACAATTGTGCGTAAGTGTATTATTAACACTTCCTTTCTTTTTTTAGAAAAGGAATTTATTTATTCTAAAATTTATTACAGAGGTATATTATAATTTATTTATACATGTTACGACTCGCTGCTTAAGTGGCTATTTAATTTTTTCTCGACTTCACCTAATAAATGGCCCAATAAAGAGTGCACGATATTTATGTTTAGTTTCCCCGTGGGCCAAATATATCCAGAGCCCCAGCAAAATGTAATAATGCAGAAGAGGTCGTCCCTTCATTAGAGGACATTAGATTGCGACATTCATTCTCTATTTACAGCCTACAATTCTTGTTCAGTACGTTTCGTTTACAAAAGCCAGTTTCATAATTGTGTATGTTATTGAGTTTTACTTAATTCTATTTTTAAGCGACTTCTAAAACTAGGTGGTTCTAAATTTGTATGTAGTTTGCAGGCATTTTATGCGATACGTTGTCAATTCTGGACCGATTTTGATAACGAGAGATTTTTTTATAATAATGAGGTAGTAAGCATACAGCCGACCTAATTGTAAGCAGTTGTAAACGTCTGCAATACAAGGGGCATTACGTGCGCGTTGCTGACCCTGAACAAACCTCTTTACAACCTTGTAATGGAGTTTTTTTTAAAAAATCTCATTCATTCGACCTATCCCATAACCTGAGAGATAAATGTTGTTGCTCTTAGGGGACCAAAGAAAAAATTGTTCTGAAGAAATATTTACTGGAATGCGATTTCTCGTTGTAGTTTAAACTATTATTAATGTAATGTATACTCGTATGTAATAACTTTTCATTCACCCGTTTTGTTATGATTTAAGTAGCAATTTTTTTTAAAAGCACAATATACTTGTGCAAAATCTGATAAAGTTCATTTAAGTTCTTATCGATTTATTTGCCGGTTTACAATAATGATTTGAGTGATTTGTAATAGACTTATTACTGGAGAGAAAAACAGGAGAATTCTAGT